GTTTATTATTAACATTGTTCTTCCGACGTCTGATTTCTTTTTAAAAAATGCGTTTCTAAAGTGCATAAACTTTTGGGATTGAATGTATAGCCAATACATCCTTAAGTGAACCACCGAAAAATACATATAGAGAAGAGAGTATTGAATTTCAACGTTCAATTATCTACGACCATGAATCATTTGGTTCGCGATCCTTATTCGATAATGGATATCACTCGTAAAACCGGGTTTCGCTCGAAAACAGCGTTGACAGCAAGACGAGTGAACTATTAAGACGCGTGGGTTAACCGAAACGCGGAACATCGCGGCGCGAAATGGTTCTCCGGATCGTAGGTATCTATGCCTTTCAGCCTGACGATGTGCAATTAATCATAGTTGTCTGTAGTGGAGTGTGCTCGTTACCTGTTCCATGTAATTAAAATTAATTATGGCCGTTTGAAACATCACCGACTGCGCCTCGTACTAACTAATTGTTCGTGATGCATTGTGTCGCCGCATCCAGTTAGTCGTTAAACCTCTTCTACCGTCTTCTACGTCTAAACAGCGCGTTTCTGCTGCTTTCTCTCTCTCGTTGCTCGATAGCAGCTCCCACTCATACGTCCCCCTACCGTCTCTGCCCTTTGTCCGAGCATTCGGTCGGGAATTTCTGGAATTGTAACTGAGAGTGGCAAGAGATTCTCTTCGCCCTCGAGAAGTTTCCCATACCACGTAGCGCGCCTACAAATATCCAACTGCGTTCTTAAGCAACGTCAAACTTCCGCAGTCAACGACGCCGGTGGTTTTAAGACGCAGCGAATTCCACGAGGAATATTGCTTCGGGTCGCAACCGACCTAAACGCGGTGATACTCACGCTTCTTTTTACCCTTCGACCCTGCTCGGCAAATAAGACAACCCTAGTTTCGCGAACTTTACAGATTCTCGCGAGACGTCCGATCATTCCAGTGGTCGCCGGTTTTGTTTACGAGAAAGTTACGCTCGTCTAAAGCAAGTTCGTGCTGGTCCTCCGTTCCCAGTACCATTGGCCGTCGTCGTGGCGAACGCGCGAGCCGGCCGAGCGCACAAGTAATTACCGAAACAGTACAACGGCAGCGCGGCGCAGCGGCAGAGAAACTGCGCGTTGCGCGTCGAGGAGTAAGCCGACGACGCGACGGGACGCTTCCTGGCTAGCGGGAGTTGCCAAAAGTTGGTTGAATGGGCTCCGGAGGAGCGCTAATTATTGTCGTCCATAGTGCAACGGGAATCCCTTCGAGGTTCGCTCGCGGGGAACGGGAGTTATTTTTGTTTTCCGCTGAGCCAGAAACGGGGAGTGGCTGCCGTGCCAGTAGCTTAGCCGTAGCGAATTCCGGCGAGGAGAACGTTTCAACTTCGCCGCGGTGTACCGCGTTGAAACGGTTCCATTTCCGTTTCGCGATGACGAAGAAATACGCCGTATGAAAAGTAATAACGAAAGTGAAAAAGCAAGTTATATTTGTTACCGCTACGCCGGGCGTCGCGTCTGCCGTGCGATAACGACCGCCTTTATCGTCGCCAAGATACGTTACGCGTCCAATTTTCCGCGATATTACCGCGCCCGCCCAGCTCGCGTCTCCAAATCCTTTTTGTTCACGGCGATACGTTAAAACGCATCCCGGTCTCCGGCTTTCAACCCTTGTGGCAACCGTGCGAGGAGGACGTCACGCTTATTGCTTTCCTTTCCTCTCCTAGCTAGGAGCGCGTACTACTCTCATGAATATTTGCGTTTCGTAGGATGAAAACTGGGCGCGTCATGTGATCCACTTTAAACGAACTCTTTGTGCGCCGGAAGGAGACCGCTGTTGGCCGAATTAATATCGTACGAACGGTTAAGCAAACGCTGGTACGCGCAGCTCTCGTTACTGAAAATGCGTGCACACGTTAGTATCCGATTGGGGTCTATCAATTGTACCATTGTTTAAAAATTGTGAGGGTATGTTAAGGTTGTTATCTTCGTGGATGCCTTTCATTCAGGGGCTTGTAGATTTTTCATGTTCATTGTGCGGATCGTGTTTCGCCGGTATCACTGTCGGAAATCCTTTAACCAATCCCGATCGGCTCGTGGCCGACGATTTGTCAGCACAATAGCGATCCCGTCGAATAAATCGCGACAAAGCTGGCATCGAGGCGAGAACAGCGAGCGCGCGACGAGACGTTATGGACCAAAGCGAAAAAACGAGAGCGAAAGTTTCGGCCGCAAGGACGAGCGATTTATCGTATCGGCCGGTGTGTATGAACGAGGTTTCATTTTTCCATTTGCGTCTCGCCGCAACCTCCCGGTTGTCCGAACGACAACCCGGTTCGCTCCTAGGATCCGTTTGGAGATCGGCCGGTTGCGTTCGTTCGTTTGGTTTCGTTTCAGTTTCAGCCAGGAACACAATTGCTTCGTCGTGCATGCCGCGGGGAGAAACGACTCGTGAAAGTTTCATGGACGGGATGAAAGAAACGCAGCAGAGTAAGAGGGAGGTGGGGTGGATATAGACGAGCGAGAGCAGGGGTGCGAGGGTGGGAGCAGACAGAATGATAGATGTCTAGATGGATGGATGGATGGATGGATGGATGGATGGATGGATGGATAGTAGACGGTGGGATGCGAATAAATCACGCGTCAGACGAATTCTCTTGAACGCGATTGGTAGTTGATGGCGGTGATAATCGGTCTCAGTTGCACGATACTTTCGTAATCCTTAAGTCGCAGCTTCTGTAAAGAGTAAAATAGGTGAGTAAATTTTTGGCTTAATTCGTCCAATTGTGGGCAGTAGAAAAAAGTGTACGCGATCGAAGGCTGGAATCGTCAAACGGACGAAATCGGCGGATAAAACGAAACTAAAGAGGGTGAGGGAGAACCGGAGGGGATGGGGAACAGATAGAAAAATGCTCGAGTTTGCTGACGCGGGCCGTTCTAATTCGCGTCGATTCTCGCGCTGCACAGTCGCCGCATTGTTCTTGACAGCTTACACGTATATGCGGAGATTTCAAAAATAAAACCATCAGTCGGAGAAATTTCCTACCCTGCGGACCGACGCGATACGATCGAGCAGACGCTCGTAAACCGTTAGTTTCAATCAACGGGGGTAAATGGTTTTCTATCCGTGGCAGCGCCCTACCTATACCTGCCCCCACCCACCATCGGCACTTCTCGTTTCTGCTCACCGACGTTGCGATACCACCAGAGTATGGTGTATCAAGTGAAAATCTCCGGCTGGTCCAATTTGTTCGATTCGAACCGCCTCCAGAGCTTTGGTGTTCCGTGCAAACCGTAACACGCCTGGCTTCGCTAAAAATTTATCGGAACGTGACTGCCTAGACAGCTGTTTAATACGTCTGGTGGAACTTTTCGTTCGCACTTCGCAGGCAGTTAATCGAAGCCGAAACTCCATTGGGAGAAGAAATGCATATTTGTTCTTCTTGAAAATGCAAGAACTAAACGTTTATTAATGCGATTAAGAGTTAAGCACTTAACGCACAGAAGGTGATGAACATCGTTTTCTTGTTGCAGGTGATTTCTCGTTGCACATCTATCCGGTGGAGCTCGAGGACGACGGCACTTACCAGTGCCAGGCATCGCCGACGAACGACGGCCAGCCGGCGCTGCGCTCGAGATTCGCGAAGCTGAGCGTGCTGGTTCCGCCTCAGAAACCGAAGATCCTTCAGGGCGACTTCCTTATCACAACCGAGGACCGGGAATTGGTGATCGAGTGCGTCAGCGTGGCTGGCAAACCGCCTGCGGAGGTAAGGCAACCTACTCTCCTCTCCTCTTTCGCTTTGAATATCGATTCGAACTGGATGGCAAGAACTGGAAGATTGTACGACGATTTACGAACACCATCCGCAGAGTGAGCATTTTCTAACAAAAGATAAAAGGAAACTGATAAAAGTTCGCTCGTTCTATTTTACCAAGCAACGGAATAGTATCTGTAAAGAGAGGTAGCTCTTCATCGTTCAATTTCCAAAATACCCGTAGCATAACAGAGCTTCGAGAAGACTCGCGGAAGATGTTAATCCGTCTCCGTAATTACCTACGCGTTGCAAAAAATTTGCGCGATCCCCAAAGAAATTCGCATAAATCCTCATAGGAAGCCCGGACGAGAGAGCGGAGAGACTTGTTTTAACTCATAAACCGGGACCTACTTTTTAAAACATAAAGAAAACGCTCAGGAAGGTAAACTCGCGTGGCTGGCAACCGCAATAACGCGTTAAACCGCATTACGTCGGACACATAATTACGGGAGCGAAGGCTTTTTCCTTGCCGCGAAGCACTTCAGAAAAAAAAGCGGCGCCGTTGTCCGCACCCGCGCGCGGTCCAAAAAATTTTTCCCGCGAATCTGGTTACGCAGTTACGGCTCGTACGTAACGCAGGACATGTCGCAGATACCCTTGTTGATATTTTTGGCGTTTGTCTCGCTGCGATAACGACGGCCCGGCAACCGGGCTGCACTTTTTAAACACTCGCGGCTTGACCGACTTCGAATCCGTTCCGATGCTCGAACACAGCACGTTGCGACTGTCATGTCGGATCACGAGGTAAAAAGTGGATCTTTGAGGGGCGGCGTGGCATAGCCACGGCGTACATCGCGGAGAGAAAAATTCGAGGTAAAAAGCGCGGGGGAAAAAGCGGCCACCGGGTTCTGCTCGATCCGCCTTGTTCTTCCTTTTTCCCTATTTCCTTTAGCAGCAGTATTTTCGCGCAGTTGCACAGATGTACCGCAGGTACAGTCGAAACGGCCACGTCAAATATATCCTTTCAATTCCGCTTTATGCGATAATGTTGGAATATAATGATGTTATTAATCCCTTCACGAGCTAACCGTGCACGTACAGTGGGCTATAATTAGACCAATGCTGGCTGTCACTATCGAATTACCGAATTATCAGACATTTATGACAGGACTTTATAGATACCTCCTCCAAGATAGCTGGAATTGAAGATTTCTTAATAGAATTTAAAGATTAATAGAAGACTAAAAAATTAATCTACACAAAGTTTTAAATCGAGACTCGAGTAATTAAAAATGAAACAGACAATCCAAAGTGGTACCACATGCATCTTATGCGTATAACGAACTGTCAAGAAATTTTAATATACGATGTTCTTATTTCATTACTGACCTTTTTGCGACGTAAATTATCCGACCTACATTTTTAAACAACCGACGACGATAGTAGAAAATATATTTTTGTCCGAATATACTGTAGACGCAATCGTAACGAGAGCCCCAATTTTATCCAGAAGCTTATTGAATCCATGCCGTAATAGAGATCGGCTCCATGGAAGAGCTCCATATCGATGATGCGGGATAATGTGCGACGCTGCGAACAATTTCGCGGCGGGCCAGCCCGGCCGCTAATTCACCGTTCGTACGCTAACGTTCGGCCGCGATTGTGCTCGCGTTAATACACAGAAATCCGTTTTCGATCGGTTCCATCCATTGCTGCTCGCCTACCACTTCGGTCCCGCTCCTTTCTAGATAAATAACGAGTCGCGAGGATTGTCGCGTCAACGACTAGACGAAAAATTAATTAAATTCGTTTCACGACTGCGTGCGGTTTTTAATTGAATTTACGCGAATCCACTGATTAACGCCGTGACGGCGCGGCGCGAAGGCTCTACCGGTAATCCCTGGCGGAAACGATGCTCGAAACGCGCCGGCAAACACTTCCGAGAGATTTCCGCGCCCAAGTTGTTACTCGTCAGTCCCTGTAACCATGTTCTCGCAGTCGCATCCCGCGGGTATCGTCGAATCCTAAACATGACTTGATCAATCAGTATTTCTATGATTTCGGAAACATGATCGTCGAACGGGCAGCGTTACCGTAATTCGCGCTATCGATTAACAAAATGGGGAAATTGATCAGTTAATCAAGCGATCAATTCCGACTCGGGCGAGTTTCTCTTTTCTCGTGTTACACGTTGGGTCCATTACACGATTGGTAGTTATTTAGTTGTGACAGGAAACAAGGAAAACGCTTCGCAAAATTGTAGGGCGAAGCGTACTGCGCGAACGGTCCATTGCATCGGAATGCTTCCTGGGAACCGTGACCGGCGCGATTTTATTCAACGCGCACCCCCTCGAAATCCCACCGCGACGTGGAAAAATATCATTGCTCGGTGCGCGGGTATATGCGAAAGAATAGTTGCTCTCCGGCTCGTGTTCCGTGAAAATACAATCGACCTGCATCGGAACACTCTTCTCCTGTTCTCCTTTCTCCGATAACGACAAGTACTCTGCCGGAAAAGATAAACCAGAGGCAGAAAACCGGGAAAGAACAGGAGTGGAAAAAAAACGGAGTAGGGCGGAATGAACGAAGAGTGAAGCGCGGGGAATGTAATCGGCGACCGAGTGATGCGTTCCAATCCGGCGTAATTTGTCAATGACGCGCGCGATCCTGCACGGCTAGGGAAATAATCGCGAAAAACCTCTGGAAAAATTCTAGCCATTGTTCGATCGCGGTAAGCTTCGCGTACCAAACGCTTCGGGATTGTTCCGCACGATAACCTGAGCCTCTGACGCAGCTTCCATTCCTCTCATTTAACGTTCCGTTGCTGTGAATTGCAGCGAATTGTGTCTCGAGTAGTATGAAAAAAAAAAAAGAAGAACGGGGAACGTATACCAAGATGACAATACGTTTAACGATGTAATCGCCCTCGTTGATTCTCAACGACCATGTGACTAAGAGTTGTGAAGAAATAAAGGGATACGAGGTACGCTCGTTTGTTTCATGTTCGTCGAACGATTACGAATAATGTCGCGAATAACCAACGATAAGAGATCGTGTTGCTATCCACTTTGCCTGCTGTGCTGGAACGCGATCTCGTGGATTATTTTATCTTAGTCGCGATGGTGCTCGGCAAGGTCTCGTAATAGTGAAGGAATTTAAAAACAAATGCGAGAAGGGAAGGTGAATAGCAGTAGTAGACCAGTTTTCTATATGGAAATCATCATGGTAATTAAAAACAACCGGTTCGTACTGAATTTATACGGACGATAATTATTTATGCAAACCGGTTCTTTTACGCATCCAGACTCCGCGATAAGACGTTAACTTCATGTAACGACATTGATACGAACAAAGTGAAGAACGGTACAAACGTAGCGTGAACAAAGATTGCGAATGATTATGATCGTTTCATAGGTGCTTAGAACACAGAGCAAAAGATTATTCATTTCAGAACGACGAGCAAAAGGGTCACGGAATAAAATCGCATCATTTTCTGGAACGAACCCTCGCGCGACTACTATATTAAATTTCGTTGAACCGCATGATTAGAATACAACCGTTCAAAAAATATATTCATGAATTTCCAAATTGCATGAATAACACGGAATATTTGCGACTCGATCATGGCATGAACAGAGAAGCCGTTGGTCTTGCAGTTTTCCACGTAATTCAGGAATTAATATTACGTAGCCGCTCGTAATTCGTGCCGCTGCATCGACTCGCCATGATTCTCGCGTACTTTCAATTATCCCGCGACTTTTCCAACCAGCTCTCACTCTCGAAACGCCGGCCTCGGTCTGTTTTCAACGTACCCTCGTCCCTCTCCCTGTATCGGGGTGGTGTGGCCTAGCTCTCTTCCCTTTCATTTCCTCGTAACTTCTTAGTTCTACCAAGTTTCTTTCATATTGTTGCGGAAACTTGCCGGCGAGAGGCATTGCCAAGTTTGCCTCGAAACAAAATTTTAATATCGCTGTCGCGCTCTTAATTCTATTACGGCGGCCCGGGCGACCAACGGAGGAGGGAGCCAACGGGATCAAAGGAAACGTTTTCTGGCGAACTCTTACCACCCCCTATCCCCTCGGCCCATGCAAATAGGACCAATTTAAACGAAAGAAAAACACCGCGGAAGCTGCTGCATACATTCATAAGGGACCACGGGTTTCATTAGAAGGAATCCGTGATCTCGAGAGCGAGAGAACTCTGATAAAAATTAGCCGCACTCGGCCAGGAATACAGCCAGGGGTTAAACGAACGTGATTCGTTCGACCCCTGGATACGAGCCAATTGCACCCGGCGAAATGAACGCGATATTTGTCCGACACTGTTCGAGCGAACGCATTATGCATAAAGTCTGTGTTTTATACCTCGAAAAAGAACGTATTGCAAATATTTTATTAACTTCATAATATCACGTAACAGATCTGATTTCACCATCAAGTATTGAAAATTAAATTATTTATAAACTGAACATTGTTATTTTTGGCAACGCCAGGATTTAGGAAAAACGACGTAAAAAAAGATGTTTCTCTGATACGGAACGGATTAACATCTGGAGGAGGCATCTATAATCAACAATCGCCTTCCTTCGAACACAGTCTGGAAAAAGGACAGAACGGAGGGGAAAAAAGCGAAATCAAACGCACACAGACCGCGGGCGCTCGCGATTTCCCGTGAGAGCGTCGGGATTTTTTTTATTATACGCCCGCCCGCGCTCTGGCGTAATGCATTTTTACAATAATCCCGGTGAAATCTGGAACAGCGAAGTGCTTCGAGCGACGGCTGCTGACGTTTGGCAAACTGTCGTCGCCGTAAGTTCATCGTCTCGCGCACTCGCAGCGGCGCGCGAGCCGCAGACGCCCGCGAAGCTCACGCTCGTTCGAACGCGCGCGAGCGTGTGCGCCTGTTTCCGTCACGACCACCACGGCCGCTCTCCGTGCGAACGTGTACGTGGACGCGTGTGTATCGCGAAAGAACTTCTCACCGCGGCTTTTACCGGGAAGGAGGGCACTCTGAACTTATGGGAAAAAACCGTTTCCATTCGGAGTCTCATGGTGTCAAGCGCACGCCGCCGTCGCCCGCCGCGGCACGGTCTCGTTTCGCGGCTGAAGAAACAATTACGCACGACCCGAGCACACCCGTGGCAATTATAACGGTGTAACGCCGCGTGTGCGAGTCGCTCGACGATGACGCCGAGGCTAGATAATTAATTTCATTAGGGCGGCGAACAGTCGTTTTTGCTGGGCCGGCTGCTGACTTCTTTACGGCTTTGTCGCTCGCGGCTCGATTCGTATCTAATGAAACCTGATGGAACGGATTCATTCATTCGTGCGGGGCTATAGTACGTTTGCACGCGCGCCTCTCGCCCCGAGTCCGTTGTCACGCTCGCTCCCATTTAATGATGCGACTCGACCATACGCGGAACGGAGAATAAACTTTAATGTTGTTGATTCGTTAAGGCTTCACGGGTATTGAAACGCCCGAAACGCATTCAGGTGCGCAGTAAATCCTCGGGAATAAACCAGCGAGCACACGCGAGTTTCCATAAAATCGCGCGACACGAGCGTTCCGACGGCTGGGTCGAACATCGTCGCACGGGTCCTCGGAAAGAGCGAGCTCGCCAACCGAAAGTTCTAATTCGCCAACTGTTGAAGTAGAAAGCTGCTCGTTAGGAAGCGACGCAGAGCCAATTTATTCGATCGAATTACTCGGCGGGGCGCAATTAAACGCAAAACCGTCTGAGGGAGGATCGCGTCGCGCGTCATCCAATGGTTCATAGTCGTTCGTCCGGCTCGTCGTTCCAGCAGGGGCGAATACTCTCGGTCCCCGAACGAGCTATCGATTGTATTTATAAATAGAGACTGTTAACCAGTATCAATAATATCGTTCGTCTGGAATCATATTGTATCACAACGGTCGGGTCTGTTCGGGCTGCTGGCTAATAATTTCCCGTGGGTATCTGCGAGTAAATAGCTGCGAGGAACCACCGTTATACACAGAAGGAAGGAACTATGTCGTAAATACTGCTTTTTCTTGCCGAGATTATTTAATTAACGGTAGACGACGTTGAATACTACAGCAGGTCGACTGGAGTGAAAGCGTTTCCTCTCTTTGAATTAAATAAGAACATACTTGTTCAGAGGAGCGAGATGTACGCGAAAGACAACGACTTTAATCGATGAACAGATAACGATTGTTCTTTAGGAATTTTGGTAAGGGACAAATAAAAAGAGAAACTGTAGTTGTTGAACGTATTATCAATCTACGCTCGTTTGAGAAAACAAGTAGGCGTTTTCATATCGAGATAGTCATAGCAGAAACGTGATATCATTTGTATTCCACTTGCGTCGCGAAACGATATCACGTGTGGCTGTTCCTTTTGCAATCTCCCAGATATGCGAATATTCGAAAACACGGATGAAACCGAGTCTATATCCGAGTCCTGTGTAAAACGCATCCATATAACGTCGATCCCCTTTCCCGGTTTTTAATTAATTCCATAAAGGAGAATAAAGTACCCTTTAATGAACCGGACGAGATTACTCGCTTACGTGGAATTATAAAAATATGAGAGCGTTAGGGGAGGCCGTGCTGGGAATAAACGGATGGAGCCAAGGTTACGGAGACACAGATTTCGCAAAAGGAGGACGACCGGGGGTGGGTGACATCGATTTTAACCGATATTTATGTCATAAGAAATTACGAAATGTATAACACAGATTCATGTAGCGTCTTTTAGTGTGAGATCGATCGATCAATTCCGATACTTTCAAGTACTTTCACGAACTAATATCGCCGATGATGATTGCACGAACAGGTACCTTTTATTAAAACAGAGATTGATCTGCTCTCGCTTGTTTCCAACGTTGAAACAATGCTAAATTGACTTCGTTAGAGAAAACAGAGGCGAACGGTCTCCGGACAAAAAGGCTAAAAGAAAATTCGCCTCGCGTGGTTCCGTTGCCCTTTGTATCCCGCAAGGAAACGGTTCTTCTATTATTTTTCCCGCGACACTTCGTGCTTCTATTGTTCGCGCTAAGACGTAGATTCATCAGAACGATGGCCACTCTGGCAATCGCCGACGTAGCTGGAATTAAGTCGGAGGATGGTTCTCGAGGAAGTCGTACGTAAGGCCGCGCGAATCGAGTACGTATATTTTCTCCGGGGTTGAGGATGCAAGAAAAGTTCGTTGCCAAGAAAGGTGGAGCCTGCTCATCGAATATTCATCGGGCGAGAAAAGAAATTTCAAAGACCGTCCATCCAGTCCCGAGGATCTCGCGTCGTTATTTCCTTCATTTTTTCATCTCCCCCTTTCGGTCCTCGGCTCGTTTCGCCCCTCGTCGCGACCTCTTTGGACATAATTGCAACGCGTTTATTAAACTTATGACGCACCTTAACTCGACCGCCACCGCGTGGTTCGCCGACAAGCGCGAACACTGTAAATAGTATTGCTGCGGAAAGTGAGAGACTCTCGCGGTGATATGAGAGTACGGGAATTCTGATGCTGCATGCCTAATTATAGGCGATACGATCGATTCGCGTCGGTGCAACTCTGCCGGAGCGGCCGCTGTGGTACGTAGATAGATGCTCGCATACTCGCTCGCGTACTCGTCCGTGAATCTACGTACACGGTGCGTGCACAGTTGTGTGCACGATCGGCTTGCCTAGACGAATAATAGAGGAGCGGTAGTAAAGTACGCATCGACGCTCATGGAGCGGGCAGTAGCCAGATTTTTTCGGTAGTTCGTACCTTTGATGAGCACTTTTATTATCTGGATAGTGGAACGACCACTCGGTCGCTGCTCGACCTTCGTGCTAGATTGGTGCAGTTCGATTTCCCGCAATTTCCTCTCTGTTCAGCAGAGATGGATTGCACCCGGGAATAACGCCGTCGACGGATTTCCTTCGCGATTTTGCACCGTTTTAATCGCAGCTCTTATCAACCGCTAATTATTACTCGTCGACGGGGGATGATGAAAATCCAGCGTCCAAGAAATCCTACAGCAGTTTCATCTTCCAAGTAAATAGCTGGCATAATCGTTTCAGACCCATTTTCCTCGATACAGAAGGTAGAAAAAGCAAAGTGGAAAACGCGCGGTTCATAAATAGAATCAATTAACAATTTCCCGGAATTTCGATAGAGAGAGCGAGTTCATCTTGGTAGCATGAAATTTATTCAACAAGGTTCGCGCATACATTTATGCCGCATAAATGAAAAATGGATATGAATTATTGGCGTAGTACATTTGCGTGCATATTATACTTGGTTTTCCATAAATTTAATTATATATACAGTTGGATTGACTTGAATTTAATACTACACGAGAGGGAAAACTTCGTATTTCTATTTTGATTGTATAACAGCCAGTCATATTATTTTTATTATAAATATACGATTCGTTTATTGAGGTATTCGCGAAACTAGAAGGCACGGATTAGCGATATCCTGTTATATCGTAGTATCCAAGAATAGCAGTTTGGAGGTAGAAATCGAGCCACGAAATCCCAGATTAGCGTCGATTACACGAGACTGCGGAACAGCGTTTCTGACCGGAAACATCAGTATCGGTGTCGAGCCACTACTCTGCTTCGACACTACGAGATTTCTAATTAAAGCCGATCAGATCGATCTCTGTGCTCGCGACGGGCATATCGATTTGAAATCAAGTCTTATCAACCGTAATAGGGGAACCCTGAAACATGTTTCACGAAGCATTTACTTTATCGCGCATTTATATTCATCCTTTAAAAGCGAGAAATAGTTATTTACAAATGTACGTTCGCATGGAACTGACTTGAATCCCATGAAATTGTAAAAGACGTCTCGATAAAAACGGATAATACATGTTCTCGAAGGGTGAGATCGAGCACGATGGGGGATTTTCAATCAGGCCAGGGCTGCGAGCTGAATTAATTTCCGAGGAAATTCGAAAGTTTGGAAAACGGGATACCCGCGGATGAAGCTCCGTGGTCGCCGGAAGCTCCGCTTCGAACCAGCCGGGGCGGATCCAGCTACTTGCCAGCTTCGGAACTCAATCACAGGCATCGATCGTAGCCGAATTATTGAATAAAATATGACAAGCGTCCATTATAATGAAATAACTTCCGATACGTAGAACTCGCCACCGGTAGTAGTCCCTTCCTCTAGTTGGCCCAACTTCTAATGCATTCTTTGTACTTGTCCGATAAGCCGCTTTCACAAAATTACCCGGACCCTTTTACCTCGGAACGAGCTCGTCGAATTAACAATTAACAACGTCGTTCGTTAGTAAAGAGAAGAGCCCAGTTTGGTATTAAGAAATCTGCGTTCATCAGAACACTATGAGTTGAACACATTTTCTGACGTTAAAATATTCGAATAATGTATTTTTAATGAGATCGTTTATTTTCGGTGGTTGAAATATAATTATGCAAAACAAATACGCGTTAATTCAAACAAAATTGAAAGCGTATGAACGAAATGAATAGATTACCACCGTGCCCGCTTGATGCAATTTACTTTTTCTCTTATGAAATTTTCCATGAATTTTTAAATGCTACAAGAACCATGTCACATAACATGTTTTTAAATGGTTGTCGATCGCATACATTTTACAATTAAATGGTTAATTGATTTTAATTATAGATCACGTGGATCGACGGCCTGGGAAATGTGTTGCACAGAGGCATCAAGACGACGAAGGAACTGTTCGACGACGGTCCACTGTACACCGTGAAGTCGGTGCTGAGGGTGATGCCGCGAAAGGACCACGACAACACGACGTTCACGTGCCAAAGTCAGAACGCGGCCGATCGCACGCCGCAGAACGCGAAATTGCGCGTTGAGGTAGGAATCTTTCCCCTCGCACAGAAATCTCGTTTCGGTTCATCCCGATCTTCAATGAAAACAAAATCGGTATCACTTCGCGAGAATACATCACGCACCTCGCGAAAGAGCTTTAAAAGCTGAACCAGTGTCGGAGTAAAACTAGAAAACTAGGTCGGCCGTCGCTAAAGCTGGTTTGGGGCGAAAGTTTCGGGTATACTTTTTTTTAACAACACGTTTTCAAACGCGGGGAACGAGATTAACAGGGGAGACCAGAAACGCGTTAACGAGCTGAAGAATAATTAATGTCGCGTCCCCGAAAACTGGTCCGCAGCGTAGTTTGCACTTGGCACAGAGGGTAGTAGAGAGATCCCCTATCCGCGCTTTCTTCTTTCCGGACAAAGAAAACGCGGTCTTCGTTACTTACGCGAGGGAGGAAAGAATCAAAAGACGCCGACGACGTCGAGGCAAAAAGAAAAAGAGGGAGAGTCGGTTCGCCGGTTCCGTTTAAGGATGTTAATGATTTATGATGACGAGGTTTTAATTCTCTCTCGCACAGCGGAGGGTGGAACCCGTCGCAATTCGTTGCCGGGTACATCGTTTACTTACCGACTTGTCAGCGAGCCGATATTAATTGCCGAGAAATTACGTCCGACGACGGAAAATAAAGTGCAACGCCGGCACGACGACGTTCGTATTCCGTTAGTCACGCGAGGACCCGTCAACGGCCGATCGATCCCGCGCGACGACAACAACGATGACGTTCATGAAAGTTTGAGCATCGGCTCGCGTGACACCTCGACCATCCCCCGGTGTGCTCCCAATATTGGTCGAAACAATCCTCCTATCTCCTGTTCACAGGTCCGGTACGCGCCGAAAGTATCTCTGAGAATCCGTTCGGGCCAGGGCAAGAACGGCCGAATCGTCGAGGGTAGCGAGCTGCGGTTTAAATGCCGTGCCGAAGCGAATCCGCCGAACGTCGAGTACAGGTGAGTCCATAACGCGCAAGATGTACACCAGGATACACTCGTCCCGTACACGTACGCGAATCTCGTGTGTACGGCTGACGCAAAGAGCCAGCTTCTGATGATCGATACATAGCTGCCTGCTTACTAAGAGAACGCTCCTCGAATTTGGAACGCTGCTGCTGCATGTGGCCGGGTATCGATGTCGGGGCGGTTTCACGGTTGCATGTCTATCGACGATGAAGCGGTACGCCAGGAACACGGCCGAGTTCCAAGTGCTCTTTCTTTGATAGGTCTTCGCTGCATGAATTACAGGGCTTGAAAAGGACATTTCTGTCGACGGATGATGCGAGATTTGTATGAGCGTAAAGAGCGAATAACAGGGTTCATATTTACGACATTTTAAATACGTAATATCTGCCAGAGAATTATTTCTTTAATTCTGATAAGATAATTCCGAGCAGAAAACGTTGGTTTATTGTTGAAAAACGAGGACGAATTCAGACAAGCAATAATATTTGCCGTAGCGATCTGTGCATTCTCTTTATGCCGCCTTTGTGTCGGATACTGCCTTTACTCTCCGATTCAACAAAGAATTGTTTCTTTTTCCATCCATCGTTCGATGCGTTTTAATCCGGCATGTTTTACACGGGAATCAGGGAGAATCGGGTCTGTTGGCTATGAATCGTGGACAAAAGGTGACCTGTACGCCTGCTCGCTGCCACAGATTTGTGACTCGGGGTATGTTTAATTCGTGAGTTTTTAACAGAGAAAGGCGACTATCGAACAGCGGACGCAGGCACGTGCAGCGACAAAAGGAGAATTAGCAAGCAATCGGTCGTACTACGGAGCAAGGGAATAATTGACGCTCGTTACAAAGAGCGCACAATACAAAGTTTAGGACAATGTTAGCCGGTCATGCGGTGCATTACGCGTTGTCTTGTTGGTTTCGTGATCTCTCTTTGTGTATTCGACTCGAGTGCAGGCGATTGTGCGCGCGTGCCACGTTTGTTTGTCCAACAAATACGACAAAAACGAGATCGCGAAACGAAAGCAAGAATGGACCACTGCCGCGCGAGTAACTGCTCTCGTTTGACTCGAGTATCCGGAATGCTTAGTTAGTCGATCAGCGATATGAGGACGGAAAGTATGCACTTCGCGTAATTTAACTGTTAAGAGTAGACGTGAATGCGTTATAGACTTGTCGCGGTCGTGAGTAATAAGAACAAATGGCTGTAAGCCAAGCGGTTATTGCAAGAAAAGCGTGGTCGTTTTAAAGAACAATGGTCGGCGTTCGTAGCTGCCGATCGTTATTCAATTTTTTCCTGCCTCGAATCGAACAAAGAAAACGTTAACCGGCTGGGGTTAATACAAAGCATAACTCGCGACGGAGCGACCTGCATGAGGTGATTCGCGTGAAATCGGAACCGTAAAAGCTACCGGGAAAACGTGAGTCTTTAGACCGTTTACGACGAAAGTTCCTACTACGACGTGTAATTTCGTGAAAATAATAAAACCTGCCTTTAGGTGAAGTAGCAGACGGGGGCTCGGAGTGCTATTAGCGACGCGACTTTGATGAAGCTGGAACATGACCGGCCTTATGTGTGCCTGTAACAAAGAGTAGAATACTTTTTCCGTTACGTACATGGCAAACTTTCGTGCCCGTGTCATTCAGTTTTCACCGTTCTTTTCGAGAGAACGTACGTGAGCACGCGATTCAACCGGGCAAAAGAGCCACTCCCGATGCTTTCCCGTTTATTGCCATCCGAAAAAGCGAATCCTGACCGTTCATTTCATCGATTTCACCGAGCGAAGCAGGATAAATCTTGCGACAGGCACGACGCGGTTCGAGAACGGATATAAACCATGGACAGATCGTTTCTCGGAGGACTCACCGTTAATTTGACGGCGATTATCGTCGTCGCGTTTTCCCCCGATCTTTTGTGTCCCGGATGAGAACTCGTATCGATCAGAACTGAAGAATAACCCAGAAGAGCCGCGATCGCTTTTTATAGAATGAAGCACGGTCGTCGTGAAAGAAATTGGTAACTGATAGAAATAGAATGGATTTTTAGGAATCGCTATTATCTAAGAGCAGTTTCTCGTCGTGCCGAGCGGTCCGATAGTGGTCGGCTCTTTTTATCGCGCGGCAGATTATGCAGCAATTACACGCTCGTCAAGGGTTTGCTCCTTTTTGCTCGGCAGGTGGTTCATCAACGAGAAGAAGGTGATCGGCGACTACACCACGGAAATGATCATTCACAACGCGACCCGCGATCTTCACGACGCGATAGTCAAGTGCGAGGTGCATAACGACGTTGGGAAGAGCGAGGACACCGAGACCCTCGACATAACATGTAAGTGGGCCAATGAAATTCAAATTATATCCGAAAAGTTTCGGCCGGAGGAATTTTCAAACGATATTGCTTTACCACGAGGTAGAATCATGTACAACGAGAGCCGAGATTACGTACTCGTCTGTCTTGCAACTATGAAACTTCATGTTCTATTACATTCGCTGTGAAATCAATATTCATAAGGTAATGCTGTCTATTTAAATATACAGAGTCGTAAGAGAAACTTTACACCCTGTATCAATTTCTAATTTGTATTCAACATACATATTGAGAATGTGTAAGAGGGAGGCCGGTTTGTGTAAGTTCTCTTTGTACCTGATTCTCAGTTTGTTAACATAATATCCAGTTTCTGAGTGGAAAGTCTTAAAGAGACGTTTAAAATCGAGTGGCAAAGGTAGAGAGTAGTATTCGCTGACTCGGGTCTGCCTTTATCTCATTCGTACCGGCAGAAGGACGTGCGCGTCGTTTCGTCGCGTTATTTAGCCAGGTGATCCCCCTCGGGCATCAGCGAAATTCGGGATAACGCTTGTCAAAAGCTGAGGCGGTGCGGTGGATAAATTGGACTTCTTAAGAGAGCGTTTCCTGGCATATTTTTCGGGATGATCCTTGACGGGATGGTCGGTGCCCTCGATTTATGGTTCCACAATGTAGCGTGAGTGGCAAGCGTGATCCCACGTGAGCGCCTCGTTCAGAAAATAGAACGCGCGGAACGATTTCGTGACGCGTCCCAGTCCGACGAATTTCCCATTTTCTCCTATTTTTTTCACCCCTCGTCCGTCCCCTTACGCTGTGATGTATCAATTCTCGCGGGGATTGTCCGACGTTAAAATTGAATTTCGCAGACGGACCACAGTTCCGACACCCGCCAGTCTCCGTGGAGACACAATACGGCGCGACGGAAATCTTGCAGTGCGACGTCGACGGGAACCCGTCGCCGGAGATCCGTTGGTACCACGAGGACTCGGAACGACAGGTCGCCAGCACGCCGAATATCAGCGTGGTGGTGAACCACGAGACCGCCGGAAGGTACATCTGTAAAGGTCACGTACCTGGTTTCCCGGAGCTGACCGGATACGCGAACATCTACATCCGGGCGCCGCCGAGCATCGTGTCGCAGAGGGTGCAATACGTGCCAGACGAGGGCGTCGTTAAGGTAGCATTTACTATACTTCATTCTGAACTAATTTAAAACGATGAAAGTCGTCAAGGCGCGAGTTTGTTTCTTTTATACCCTTTCCGTAATGATTTTTATCGTAAATGGAACTTGAAAATCTCCAGAACAAATAATTTTTATTCGAGTCTCGTAAAGCCGACGCGTGTAACGTTTTATTCAAAGTCATGTGTACTGGAAACGCAGAACTTATAGAACCTATTTGAAAACTACTGTCACACATAGTTCGAAAAAATTCGACTGACCAAAATCAACGTACCAAATGGTGTAGAACAGCCGTTGCACAAAGCGGGCGGCTATTTTCCTAGGAATCTGAACTAGTTCGATGAACACCCGTAGAGCGAGCATAACCATCGACTAACCGCGTTCCCTCTTCGTTCTCTTTTTATCAACTTTTTTCCTTTTCTATTCTTCATTTTCTCTCGTCGGTATACGAGAATCGAACGGAGTTCGGCGGTTTTAAAAAGCGGGATACAGTTTTTTATCGGTCGATTTTGGGCGAGGCGACGGGGCCAAGCGACGAACTGGATGCCTTTTTATTCGACTGTTCCTCCTCGATTTCGCAGGTGAAGTGTACCGCGATATCTGTGCCAAAAGCGGACTCGGTGGTATGGAGCTTCGCCGGTCGCGAGCTTAATTTCTCGTCGAACAATACGCCGTTCTACGTGCAGGAGGAATACACTGGCGAGAGGGTCGTCAGCACTGTCACGTTGCTCGATCCCATATCCACGTACTTCGGGGATTACAACTGCACGGTCACGAATAGCTTCGGCACGGATTCCGTCATAATCAAGCTGACGGCACACAGTAAGTTCATATCCATTATAACCAGCCGACGTTTCTCTCTTCTTCTCTCTTGTTCTCCGCCCCTCTACTTCCTAGCTCTGTCGCGTTCCGTGCATTTTTCTCGTCTCGCGATTCCGCGTTTCTTTTTTTTTCGTTGTCTTGCTTGCCTGTCGCGTGCGCGAGACGCGTCCTCGAAAATTGACGCGTCCCCGGCGTTGAGAAATGCACGAATCGTTTCCAGGCATGTACGCGATGGGAAAAACGATCGCGGTTACGCGAAATCGTATCTCGTCCGCGATGATGAAATTACACGGGTACCAAACGATCGACGCGGCGGCGTTCCTATTGACTGCGTGTTCGAAAATGAAAACAGTAACCACCGAGCGGTGATTTTGCATTTTTTTGTTTGAAATAGGAAAACACGCGTATTTGTTCAGAGGCACGTGTATCTGATGAATACGAGGCAGGAGTGACAAGACGAACCGGGCGATTCGTTGCCGCTCGGACGAGCTCTAGTAAAATACGGGTTGAAATTTGTTGTTTCGAATACGTCCGACGGGAACAAAAATAACGAAAACAAATGGCGCTCTAAGTCTCAATTTTTTTCGCCGATACCGTTCGCCGTGACTTTTGATCAAACTTTGTCAATTTCTCTTCCTCTTTCCCTGTTTTTTTGTTTCACTACAATTTACAGAACGATCTCTCACTGCGGAACGATCAATCCGTTCTCCGTTCTAAATTTGGGGGAATTTTTTGGTCGGAAGCCGACGCGGCGCGGCGGCTCTCGTCGTAAATTCCGAGCGATTCAATTAACCGGACGCGTTTCACCGCGCGTTTTGTAAAATTTAGCCTTCGCCGTTAAACAGTCGCGCGCACTCGCTGCCGCAAATTTTATTCCTGCCGCTGTTAAACTGTACCCACGTACCTAGCTGGCTATCGTCGAGCAATTCCGAGAGACGAGAAAAAGATGAAAAGGAAAGAAACGAGCTGGAAAAAAAGAGAGAAAGAGCGTTTTCACTTGCCGAACCATGTTCAGCCAAGATTTTAACCGATCGTGACGCTCAGCGTTGATTCCAGTCGATTGGCAGCTAATTCTCATCGTCGGCGGACTGGTCGTCTGCGTGATCCTGATTGGCGTGATCATTATACTTATTCTGCAGTGCCGCGACCGCATCAAACAGCCACGGCCGAGGACTGCCCAGACCCAGGAGACTAATATGCGTGAGTGGAATATCATGTTCGAATGAATTACAAACGTCGTTAGTCACGCCGCGTTTCCCATTGTTTTTCCACCGCTCTCCGTGACTCGCGATTTCGCCATTTATTACATATCCGACCGGCCACCGGCTCGGGAGTAAATTCTTCTCGTCTCGCTGCGCTGCTTGACGAGACGCGAGACGTTATCGTTCGGTATCTCGTATCTCGCTAACGACGCGGAAAACAACGAGCGAAGGATAGGGCATTGAATGCAAACGAGCCTCGCGTTCGCGGTACGCTCCGTACGAGCAGGCTGGAGTCAAAGCGCGACATTCACTCCTCCTTCGACGCCTTTCTAAAGCGTTTGTATACCCGACCGATTACTCTACCGTTATGCATGGATTATACGCTTTATGGCTCCATAACTAATATTATCTGATGCGGTTACGGTGCGATTGTACCAACATTTTTCGACTCTGCCCGCATGTGCTCTCGCCAGATGTTTCGCGTTCTAATTCGCGATACAAATTTGACGACAACGGGAAACAAAGGCTGCGGGGATAGAATTTTTGCAACAGAATCTCCGTGTCTGTCCGTTATTGAATTTTGTCTTCCTTTTTTTTTCCATTGCGTTTTCCCGTCCGTCGATGAACAGAAGAAACAGATTTGAACGCGGATCAATATCGAGAGAGCGACAGAAGCAGCAACCTCTCCGATGTCAAAGCGGATATACGAGCAGGATCGAGTGTCAGCAACGCGGAAAGCGTGACAGCGCTTGACAGCGAGGGCGAAGGAAGCACGAGAGGTGTTAACGCTTTGGCGCTAGCAGGACCCGTGCCGAATCCCCTGGGTTATCGTTATAGCGCTGATTACACGGAACCTTCGTTCCCGCCGAAAAACAACGTGAGTAATCTACCACTCCATTTGCACGTACCAACTCAAAGACAGTTCGGTTAAATAGAAATCCAGGAATACATCATCGTTTGTACAAGGCAGTTGTCTTACAATCTTGTTTGATAATTCATATTTCAAAGTAGAGTAGCGAAACGAAGTCAGAAATGCTACAACAGCGAAATTGACTAAAAACGCGTTTCTGTATAAACGAATGAACTGAATTTCGACAGAAAGAGTTCATCTAATTGTCCAGTTAACTGACGATACTGTTTCGGATAAATAGAGCGCGGATGAGGTTTTAGTGCCGAACTCTCGACCCGTGTATACGCCAAAAATTTCTCTATTCGCAATTTCGCGTTTTGCGCGAGGTAGATGCCAGAAACCGGAGCCAGAGCTTAATCTAGTTTATTGCGAGAGGAAGCAGCGAGCTCCGAAAGTACATGTTAAAACGTAGACCCTCTCCTCCTCCCTTTTACTCCGGAGCGTATACTCTCGAGGATACTGTAGATTTAATTTGCAGTTTTTAAGAATTTCCTTTCGGTCCCGATTTCAGCGGCACCTTTTCACACGGGGTAGTCCGCGTGACACATTTGGAGTTCGATCACGTCTTGGATCTCCCTTCTGCTATGATAATCCGCAGCGATCCTAATTTCTGTACACGCCGAACGAATTATAATAACACCGGAATCCAGTAGAATTCTCGGGTCGGTGAACCGCTTCGCGGCGACGGCGACGACTACGTCGTCGGGCGTGCACGAACGAGCGTCCCGCGCGGGTCGATGCGATGTGGCGTCGTCGTCGTCGTCGTCGTTTACATCGTGTCGGAAAAATTAATTTCGTGCGGTACATTTCTCGTCAGCGGTGTACCGTGTTATTATAGGCCGACAAAAACGATCCGTTCTGGGGAAGGAACACGGGGACAGGTAGACGGGGTGCGGAGTCCATTCAATTGTTACATACCTATCGTACTCGAGAAAGTGGTTTCATTTCGCAAAAACGCCCCGCGCCAGTATCTACTGCATTGAGATCGACCGACTGCTATTTTGCCTCTAACGTTTCTCCCTTCCGTTCTCGGTGTTGCAGGACGGCAGTAACAATAATGGTTACGTGCCGTACGTAGACTACACCCGCGACTATATGCCACCCACGACGCAAGGAGTGGGCGCGTCGCGAGAATCCTTAAGCAGGATACCGTCGGGCGGGATACTAGCCTCGAAGAAGATCGGCCTGAGTTCCGCGAATTTGGGCACGACCACCCCGCAAACCACCCCCGCAATCGACCCACGTTTCTCCGCAACGTATGGAAATCCCTACCTCAGGTAAGAACCTACGGACGCACAGAGGCTACTTGGCCAACGGCTGCTGCCTATATTCAGCGCGGCGGTCTATCAATGGAATCCACGTCGACTGTGTCATCGAGCCTGCAATCTAGTCCGATGCGTCGGCCAGTAGAGGAACCTTTGACCAACTGTAATTGTGTTTTAGCGCGGTAATCCTTAAAGAGGAGCGCGCGCGCGGGTATCGCCGGCAGAGACGATTGAATTATACAGTCGAGGGTGGAACGTGATATCCTCAGAATCGGTAGTAGTAGCTGAAAGAGAACCGTTACTGAAGGACTTCGAGGGGTGGCGATCGAATGAACCAGCTCGGGTTCTAAGCGAGTGAAATCTTGAACCCGAGAATCAGAGTCAAACTTCTTTATGCTATCTGATATTCAAGTACGTTTCTAGGCGGGGATCAAAATTTCCAGTGTCCCACGCTGATCGATTCTAAAAAGAGTGCATAAGATTGAAACGGTTATAATTCAACGAATTTTTAACGACATTGTGAAACGGGCTACGTACGACGTCACAAATTTACGGCGTATTGATCAATAGAATCGCGGCACCGCGTGCGCAATCATTTCTACGAATTAATTATATTCCACGTGAATTATGAATCGTCCGTCTTGAATATTTATAACGTCCGGTTCGATTTCGGGCTTGATATTAATCGAACGAATCCGCGACACCCGGATTTTCGAGCCGTTCCCCGTTTATTCGTAATAAACGCCGGGCAGCGTGAGAAATTGTTACTGATCGTTCTCTTCTCGTTCCGTTTGAACAATAGAATGTCAGCAGCGGAACAACTGAGACACGCGCCGCACACAGCCGTGCCGGGAGTGACGCCGGCACCACCGCCCTACACGCAAGCAATGAGAATGAATAGCTTGAATACCTTGAACGGCGCTGGACCGCAGGTTAGTACAATGACAGCGAATGTGTGTCGAATTCCTAGACACCAGTTACGACATCCCAAGTACATTTCAACGCTCACCTGAACTAGTTCCACTTCAGACCTTGCCCGCTGATTGTTTCGCAACCGATTGATTCTAATCGAGTTGATTAATTCGTCAGCAATCAGAACTTTTTGTAACGTGCCGTCTACCGTTTCAATTAACCGCGACCTGCGCTCTTAATACATAAAATAACACTTGCGTTTAATTGTTCTTGTAAGCGCAGCCCGTTTTACGACGAGGTAACTGAACGTTCGACGCTTTCGAATAATTTTCCAGGCTCCACTCTCAGCGCATTACATCACAGGGGGCCCAAACGGTGGTGTGGCAACGGTAAAACGCACTTCGGCGGTCGGGACGTTAGCGACGCATGTATGAGGCCAGGAGGTCTATCCGAACTAGAACCATCGACGTTCGGGCCTAACTAGCACCGCCTTCAAACACCATCGAGCCGTCGGAGGCAGCCGGCACTCGAGGTCGCTCTCGAGTTCGAGCGCTTTCGGGCAAGATGAAATGTTCCTCGCGGAAACTCCAGCGAAGAGCAGTCGTTATCGGAGCTACCACGATATCGCATCATTGGGGAGTCGTGATGCTACTCAAGTTTCCACCGCGATCGCACGAGTAACGGACGTCGAACGATTGTTGAGGGAAGCAAAGTCGTTCCGAGCAAAGGGACGAGCGCAACGGATGACCGAAAACGGCGAGACGCTGAAGCACATCGAGATGGTGTTGCGACAATTACGCGCAGCCAGCAGGGATCATCGCCATCTCGTGGAGCAACAGCATCATCAAGCTCCGCATTCGTTCCCCGCGTCTTCGGACGAGTCGCATCCCTAAAGTTTCCCGATTTCGCGCGGGCAAAGTGTCTTCGAAGGATAGTGGATCTTGTCCTCGATTCTCCGGAGATAACCTAAAAGCCGCGAGAAGTTGGAACGAGCGAAGATCTACTCTAATGTCCCAGGAACGCGACGACAAAACTGTCGGCGAAGAGGAAGACGTAGACCAAAAGTGTTCACTTTTTTTGGAAACGGGGTCCGAGAAGATCTGCCATGGAATCAGCGTGGTCAACCGACAAGGTCTCCGCGATACGTTCCTGTGTACAAAGGAATTGACGCCAAAGTTATTCGATGAAAAACCGCTGAGCGCTAAGGAACATCAACAGATTTCATCCGAGTACATGTGAACGCGTGTGACGCGTCGAGTCGATCGAGTCCTGCAAGAAGAACCGTCACTTGCATCTGTAAACGGCTCGTCCGATATGGGAAAGATCGGGCGGCGAACGCGATTGTTCGACTTCGAGGAATAATGCGGACGAGAACAACCATTAAGTAATGACGAACAAGAGTTGTAAACCGGTCGAACTTGTCGGAAGGTATCGATCAGACTGGCATCGGACGATATATTCCATCTAAGAAGACTGAACGGGGTGTAAGAAGGTTCGATCGTCGACTCGGGCGCGCAGTGTATTTTTCTTCTTTCGTCTAAAATAGTCGAGTTTATACATCGAAGAAACCGGTTTTGGACGGAACGGTGTCATCACGAAGGCGAAGCGACACGCGATGATGAAGAAAGGAAGAAAGATGTGGTGGTGATTCAGGGAGTTTACGAGGTACGAAGGACGGTGGTTAGGTTCGTAAGTCGAAGGTGCTCTTCGGAACGAGAATAGACCACTCGGTATCGACAATCTTTTTATTCGCATACTTTATAGATCTCGATAAGCATTTAACGTTCATTCGGAACGTAAACGGGAAAAAAATTATAATGAGAATCGAATCTCATCGCAGGTCGTTGTGATCGTAGTAGCAGTCTCTTTGAAAAGTGATAGTGTCGCGTCGAATAAAGCTAGCGTCGACGGATATTTCGCTTTTTGTGATACGTAGACGGATGTCCCGGTTGAGATAGCGGATCGATTACGAGGAAAATCAGGGCAACGTCTCGGCTGCTACTGCGGCGTTACTGCGTCGCGCTGCCTTTTTTTTATTTGTTAGATCTCGCGCTGAGTACTCGCGAATAAACGCACTAAACGAGAGGGTACGGCACACCCGACGATCGCGCGGCTTGTTTGACAAGATCGATCACGGTTCCGTGTCTCCTCCCGGCCTAGGAATTTTCGCACGCCACGTCTCCGAGGCGATCGACAAATTCCACGGGCCGAACATTGTAAAATAGATAGCTAAAATGATTAGGTATACATATAAATATATTATACTCCTGTTGTCAATACGAATATAGGGCCTATAGTTTGGCGGCGCTACGAGAGCAGAAGTCTATTGAAATAAGCTCGTTCGCGGGTGGAACAGCTTCGTGTAAATAACGTATAATGATATTAATAGAGGAGGAGAGGAAGCAACGTATTAGATGTATAAAATTGGTCGCGCGTTTCGCATCGAGGGAAAAGTATGGAGCGCGACTTTAAAAAGAATGAGGATAGAGAAGGACGATAATTCTTCGCTTAATTACGCTCGTCATTATATTAATCTCTTTTTTCCTCGAAAATATATAGGTTCGTTTTTCCATTCGTTTGCTATCGTAGATCATCAGGCGAGGACGTGGAGGACAGGTGTATGGCGTCGTCGGTTCCTCCTCGCCGATGATCTACGATAAAGCTTCGAGTTTAAAGAGAGAATATGGAACTTAACCGATTCACGTCGCGATAACATGTACAGCGAGCATAATACCATTGATAACGAAACAGGGTAGCCTATCAATTATTAAAAACGAATTTGAAAGAGAAGGCTGCACACTACGAACTTGGCCCCATACTCCCGTGGCGCGTCGGTGATAAGTGGAATTTAAAAGAGAAAAAGAAAAGGCTCGGGCAAACATGTCGGCGACGACGAAAGGATTAAATGAATCTTAACGAACGGTCGACGGTACAATCGTCGCGCGTTCAGAGCTAGGAGAACGAATATACATTTGTATTGTCGAGAAAGAGATATCTTTATATTGAGACGTCTGTAACATAATTTCTGTACATAACTGGAATTATTGCTCACCGTATCTCGTAAGATTTAGTTAGTTTTGTAACTGTGAAAAAAAAGAACATGAGAAAAGATAATACTATGTGCATATCCGACTCTGCGCCGCGCCGGGCAGCTTCACGGCGGACAGTCCACGCCGGAGGTACACGCCCCATCGTCGTAGATTAAAAATGAACAAAAAAAAAAATCAGTATTCATAACGTAAACGTAACTTTCTTCCTATCGAGCATGCACATTCCGCGATCGGCCGCGATCGCGTGCGCGGTTCATCGTTAGAAGAATCAGTTCCTCTGTTCGCGCTCGAATCAGTTCGTTGCGACGCGGAGAACGCCGTTCCGATTGGACGGGATTATACAATTTAGTATTATCGTACTTCGTAAGCATCTCCCATTCTCGCGCGGTTCGACGCGTTCTCCTCGCCGCGCGACTCATAGACCAACCACGTCGACGAGGCATACGGTTCCGGACAAGGGAAATGTCCGCCGGAAGCGCAGCTTACTGTACATCAATCATTCTGTACAATGTTCATCCTGATGTTACTGTTAACTATTTAAAAGTGCGGGTGCGTGGAATGCGTGAATGAGCACGAGCGAATGCGAGAGCGTGGGAGAGAATTTTTTGAGGTTTTCATTCAACGCGTGCAGAGAACGAAGTCCTAAGCGCGGACGCCCGTGCGAGAGGATTCGAATTCGCGGCACGCGCGTTCGCGTCCACGATCGCACATACGTCACGTGTAATTGTATAAAATGCTTGGTGGAATTTCGAATTGTACAGATTTTACAGTGGTGGAAGGCGAAAATCACGTGGAAACGGCACGACGAAGCTCGCGTTCCGAGAGCGGATCCGTAAAAATTAAATAAACAATGTTCACTGGCCATGCTGAACAAAAAAAAGAGAGAGAGAGAAAGAGATCTATACATGCGGACATACATGATGACATGATTTCTATTATATATATATAACAAAGAACTGTAGGTTAACGAAGTATACTGCGGGAAGTAATTACAATCAATGTACTGGATGGTCCGAGGCGATGTTAAAATTAGAAAAGTTTATGTCGTTTGAAACCTTAGAAATTTACGCCTTCTTGCCGCGGGGCCATCCTATACGTATTAATTGGTTATCTGTCAATTATTAATTAAATTGTATATCGATTTCTTCGCAATTTAGTCAAGGAAAGGGACGAGGTGGCCGCACGCAGAGTTTCCTCTCCTTCCGTTCACCGATCGATTCCGTCGTGCGAGTTGAACGCGCCCGAGAAATATTCGCGACCCTCTTCCTCGCGAACCCTCCCGCTCACCCATTCTGAAAGGCAGTTCGCGGGGAAGAGCACGACCGATGACTCTTCGAATAGTTTATTTTTCTATAGTGCAATTATTTCGTTCAGTGCAATTTCCAGCGTCGTTGATTTTCATCGAAAGTTCAGCCGCGTGAACTCGCGCCCTCGCAAGATATTCATTTCGGCGAGAAAACTTTGCGCCCGGCCCAGTCATACGCTGCGTGTTTTTGTAAAAGCGCGAAATCCTCTTGAAGAACGACGCGTCGTTCGTTAAACGAAAGCGAAGAAGACGAGAGCGGGGAGGAAGAAAGATTATTGCCTAAAACAAATTGGTTGAGCGAGGGAAGAATTTTTCAAATTTGTTGATACATTTCATACTTTACGATTAGGAATTATGGCCTATTACTAACTATTTCGCAAAGTTTATCTGGCGGCTCGATCGTTTTTCTCGTATTATTTATCGCGAACACGTTGACGACGCAGCTGCGGTGGTTTGCTCCAGACACCGTGGGACAGGAGGTGAAAAGTGAACAGCATTTCGATTCAACGGGTTGTGCCATACTATTATTCATCGTGTAAATAACGCATTCACGCATTCGGGTTTGATTGTGGGAACGCGGGAAATGAATGAGAAGATGTAACAAAAAGCTATCGATCGTACGTACGTTACGTAAATACGTAACGGGGAATCGTGAATTTCACCGCGTGCGGATAGTTCGATAACGTGCGCATGCCTTAAAAACGACCGAGCCGTCTGCCCACACATTTTGTGAAACGGGAAGTGACTTTTTAGGAAATGAACACTTTTTCGCGCGCTATCCATTGGAAACTGCGTTAAGCATGTCGCATCGATTATTATGCCGAGTATATGGAAGGAATGAACGAGGGCAAAAGTAAGAGAACTATTTCGAATTCGACTGAGCGACATTATAGGAGATACGATATATATCCCCATATTTTTCTTGATGTTAAGCTTTTTTCTCAGAAACGCGTTACGCGGCGTGCAAGCCTGCGAGAAGGAATTCAAGCGAATCGTTGCGAATCTTTCAAATTATCGGCGTATCGTTTGTATAGTAATAGCGGGGAGAGTCCGATGAACTGCGGTCATTGTTATCGCGCGAGTATCGTAAAGGTGGTAGAAAAGGGAACGGGATGATCGCTCTGAACCGCGCTTCGGATTCAGAACGACCGTCCGTTCAACTCAGCTCGTGATTTCAGCGAAACGACATTTCTTTTTACTTCTAATTAACGGCCACCTCTCGGTCATGTTGTTTGTACGAAAGTGAGAGGTGAATATCGATGATTTAGGATTGGATCTGGAAAGTCTGTTACGTTTTTACACAAAGTAAAATGGAACTTTTTCAAGGTACACCGTGTGTAGTAATCTCGACCAATAACTTTGATATGAATGCGCCAGGAATTTATTCGAATTTTCGTACATCTTGAACGACAACGCTTGGGAACAATTTAACGAAAGCGCACTCGTCTCACGTTCGCCCACAGTACTATAGTGAATCATTGTGAAGTAGATAAATTTTCGTCGACGTTTCGATATCGACGCATCCTCGAAAGTTTCATATTTTACAAAATACGATATAGACTGTCGCTCGTATGTTAAACACGAGAAAGAAAGAAAAAAAAAGACTGTAACCGACGAACTTGTTGAAATCGTATCGAACGACCGCGATTCGTGGTAAATCCGTATAGTGGGAAGAGGTCGGTGCACGAGTCGCGTGACTCGGTTCGGAACAATCTCTCATACGGAACGGGAAATGGGAGAAAAAAAGGACACGACAGAATAGCCTATGGTGATAATTAAGAACGTTCGCAATATCTGTAGAAAGATCATGTTACGACGAACACGTTATTACCATTAGTTTTCTGTCGTCCGTTCCTCTTTTCACTTTGGCTCAGTTCATTATTCAAATAACGCTCGTTCCCTGTTCTGATACTCCCTACGATCCCTACCGTACGCGTGCATATACATGTACGTGCATGTGATTCGTCTGCGACGTATACAATTACGAAATGAAATTTCAATTAAGGAACGGAGGTGCGACAACAAGGTCCTTGTAATGCCAGCCGACTTGTTAATAAAACGCGGAGCGAAAGTTGAAAAAGCACACGCCGTGGAGAATTACTCTTCACAACCACAATGACCAATTACCGTGGTAATGCGTGCGCTAATTACGGGAAACGATTGGCGAGGTACAGCCAAAAAAGTACGTCAATAGCAACGGCGCGCAACGCTGGATATGTCGCGAAAACTCACGAGCCGTTAACGTCGTGAAAAATAAATGTATTCCACTGAACTCGCTGTACAAGGAACACGCAGGAAACTCCCGTAATGCGACTAAACACAAGAACTTTTGTTGCGAGCCACCGTTACGTTCCCGGACACTGTACCGCCGCATAGTAGGATTGGCAAACTTCGCGAGCCGAATCGGTGCGCAACGGATGGAGCTCGCCGAAACGCTATTTCCTGTTGCAATCCATCTACCACCCCGTCGTTTGATAACGAGTTTTTATCGATCCGTTCACGGGCATTCGGTAAACGCGACACGCAGAAACCTTTTTCTAACTGGACTTAATAGCGAGTCGGTTTCGATTCGAATTTAACTGGTAATTCATTAGATGAGAAAACGAACTGAGTTTACGTCGCGTAGTCGTGTGCGTCTTACAAACCGATACTCGGTACGTCGATGTTTCGTCAACGAATCGGTCAATATCCTTCGACGAAGCGAGATAAGACAGAAGTGCGCCAAGTGGACTATATAGGATTAATTAAATCATTCTAGGAATGGAAGGAAGGAGAATAAACGCGGTGTAAATATTTCGGAACGCTAGAGATTTGACTATGAACAGCGAATCATCCTCTTTAGTGTACATTATTACTTTGTATCATAATACCCTAACGAACGTTTAGCTAGACACTTCTTTGAGATTTCCTCGTGAAGAGCAAAGGGAAGGAAGAAGAGAATCGCCTATTCTGGGTTTTATGTCGATCTTTCTACAGCGCAGCCCGATTTAGAATTGACTCGCCGCGAACACGATAGAGAAACCGGGCAAAACGATAATCGTAACAGTCTCAATTTTAGCGATCTTTTCTCTGAGACACTTGAGTCATATGAACACACTTGACGCACATAGAAATCGTTATGCTCTACACATTAACAGTTAATCGCGAATTGTGTCAATTTATAGAAAACGATACATTTTTTATATCCTCGCGTCGAAAGGAATATGAAAGGAGCAATCAGGAATTTTATATAATAATCTCCGTATTGGTTGAATCGCGATTTGATCTCGAAATTCCTCGCATGTACCTGTAGCTGTCTAAAGTTCGGGGGCGGAAACAGAGTCAATTGGAGAGACCGCGCACCGTTCGCACAAGATCTTCCGTTTAGCGAGAAACAATTTTTTAGAAAGAGCAATTTAGGGTATAAGAAAGACGAACACAGATTTTTCCCGAGCAACGTAACGCAAGACACCACCAAGTCTAACTCTTCGATATCGACAGTGTGCCAATTGAAAATCTTTTATTCCGAGTTTAACTACATACGTGTCCGTCGCGTTTTTCTTTCACTCATTTCATACGCGCGCGGTAGATATAATTATAAGGATGTGTAAGTACAAAGGAACGAGAAAGAGGAGTGAATGAGAAGAAGCTTATGAATTTTCAATGTCCTTCGCGTCGCAGTAGTCGATGAACGCTTGTCCTTACACCGTGTTTTGATGTAAAATGAGCTTTGGAATTTGTAGGCCTTTTGCCTGAACCCACGCCCTCGCCTCCCACTGTCCTTGCTAAACTTCGCCTTTTAATCTGGTCCCGTGCGCTTTTTCAGTTGTTCTTTCATTACGTAGGACTAAATTTTACGAGACGGGAAACGTTCCTTTTCTTTATTTCTTGCTGCGAGAATAAGAACAAGAAAAGAGAAAAGAAACGGTCAGACCAAAGAGATGTTTATTTTAATGTTGTGTATATTTTAATTGAGTTTATATCGTATAAATTGATAATGCATTTTTCTGTGCGTTACACCGAGTGCTTTAATTAATCATTCTTTTTTTTATATCATTTTTAGTATAAGTTATATATTCTTATAGAAATATATATGTATATTGGCATGTTTTATTTTATGATAAGTATCTATTGTCTGGTATCATAATCATCGCGATCGATCGGCGCAAACATCTTTTACACGTAAGATGTAAATTTCATTTACGACTAATCATTCATTAGGATTCATATAACAACACGATTCTTCTTATTATAATTAATTATTTATAGTTAATTAATTTACGTACTACATAATTTTTAAGCAGCCAGTGCCGTTTATTTTATACTTCGGATAGAGTGTAATGTATATCACTGCTGTTATCATATTTTATTAAATCTTTGCCATATAATAGACCCCGCAGTCTCACGTTTTCACCCTTTCCGTTCGTTCATTTTGCCTACGTTGCAATTATATCCTTTCCATCTTCCCTCTTCTTATTATGTTTAAAGCAAAACAGTTGAACAGAAAGAATGCGACGATGACAGCAAAGGATGAAAGGTTCTTGACGCATGTAAAAATGAAAGGAGCGCGTGGAGTGGACGCGTTGAAAAATGCAGAAATCGTTTCGCAGAAGAGACACGTGCAATGTATCGAGTGATTTCGCACGTTTCTCACTGTACGCATGTCTCAAAGCCGCGTGCGTCGAGGCATACCTACTGCCTCGTCGCAACCCGCTTAAATGCACTTGGGCACGCATATCCCCTCGCGAGCGTCGTCTTTCGTAATCTTTCAGCCGCCCTCGCGCAGAAGACAAGAGCGAGCGAACTTTCACGCTTCGTTCGGCAATTCTCTCTGGACGGTAATAAGTCGTTCGCGTCACGCAAACCCGGGGTGTTCTCTTCGTTTTCCTCGTTCCCTCGGAGATGCAACTTCTTATCCTTCTGTCTAGCGTGACGGCAACTGATTTCTCGATACGATTGTAAATGTTTGAACTGAGGTATCGAGATAGATTCCGGACTTCGCAGCTCGTGCACGAGATTTAGCCCGTTTATTTAGGAAATTCGCGCGACTCGACGTCGCAATTGAAGACACGGCTGCGGGACCCGGAACCATTACTTCTTCCGTTACTTCCTTGTATTGTCGGTGACTTTTGTCCTAGCCGGGTGGGGTCCGACTTCGGGCAAAAATCGAGGGAAATAATATATAGATTATTTCACATATAGCATACAGTTGAATAAACTGTAAAACAAAAGCAATGAAAGAAAATAATGCTATTTTTATATGTTGCATCGTCTGCCGTGGTGACCTATAGTTGTACGAACAGTACTTGAGTTAACAATCCTTTTTCATTCGTAGTTTCGATTCGGCAATTTCTTATAACAATCCGCGTTTCTTTCCTCCAGTTTTCCAGAATCGCGAACCATAAGTCGTGTTCGGGTATTATTCACTAGAAAACGCAGTTTTCTTCAGTCCAATCGCGATTTGAACGATAATATTTTTTTACTCTTTATAAACGAAGTTTAACGTTCGTTTGAATGATGTTAAAAATTGTGAGAAGCATTCTCGTATAAGTTGACGAGGGATGTCCCAAATAAATAAATAAATATCATCACGTTAGCAGCTTAGAAATAAACGACAAGGAATATTTCTGAAGACGATCCAAAGGATGCTCTTGCTCACAATTGATCTAGATTACTACATTAAGATTTACTATTATTGTATTATTATTACTATATCTACATTCCTTTTAAGAATCTACCACTATTACTTTACGAAACCATCTGTAAATAAGTATTTTGTATTCCTGCAAGAATAAAATTACGAATTGAAATTGAAAATCACGTTTTCAATATTTCCACTACTGCCTGCTGAACTTCGGATCGAGACACCATGGACGGAATTGAAGATCATTGCCCTTTAATTTTGAATATCTTTATTCAACCAATCACATTCTTACAATTACATAAAGTGTCGTACACAAAGATCAACCCAGATTATAATATGTGATCTTCCATTTTTACTTAAAATACGTGTGGTTGAAATAAATCATATTATCCTACTTAACATACGTGAGAAAATCGTTCAGAATTTTAACATTCACGACGAAGAAGAATAAACCAGCACTCCAAATATACGTAAATGTGTTCAGCCCTTGAAATTCCAATAGGTAAGCAGCCAGCAACCAAAGTGCCTGGCTGAAGATCCAGAAGAAACATAAGCATAATGATCTACGAATGCTCAGTTCGAAACGCGGAAGACACAGCGGTATAAGAGACATGTACCAGAAAAAATATTGCGATGTTAACACCGGATTGTACGTCACCATTACCATCGCTTGCGTAAGCATAGCAAATGGTAACAGAGATTTGCTTGAATATTTATACGACAGTAACAGCAGCAATATCAACTGCGGTAAGAACGTAAAAATTTTTTGTAACATTGGCGGATTGTTGGCTGATAAATATAACATGTAAAAGTAAACGGAAAAATTGTGTTTCGCGTCTCTACGTACAATATGATAAATCAAACTTTCGTAAAGATACTTATAACCATACAGATAATAATTTATACCAGTTAGGAAAACAACGAACGATACGCAACTGAATACCAATTTTAATTGACTTTTGTTTGGTACGAAATAATTTGAATCGCGAAGTGTAAAGTACATGGGTAAACTGAATACTATGGGATATAATCTGAAATGAATTGACAAAGCATGCATTAAGCCTGTCAGCACGAATCTGTCTTGAAGAAATAAGTACAAAGTCTGCATAACTAGAAGAACCGCCAAAGAATCCGCGTTCCCTCTGGTTGAAATTACGATTGTAACTGGATTATACAGCCAGGTGAACAGGCTTATACGTTGTAACTTTTCATTACATTTTTGCAACGTTAATATCTTTTTTATCAAAACTGCTACCAAAATATCAATTAAAGAGAATAAGATTTTGCCGCAATTCTCATTCAGAAAAATATTCGGTGTCAATAGTAGAGCCAACAATGGAGAATAACGGTACGTGTCTCGATCGAATGGCGATGAACCTTTTACCATGTGCCTCGCAGCATCGGTAAACACTTTATAATCCACGTCTGTGTACGGAACATTGAAGGTTTTGTCGTGGAAGTTCGAATAATAAACTAAAGTTACTCTCAGTAGAAAAGCTGCTACACAATGCGACTTAAACGATAACTCAATCATTTTTTAAGTATTCGAATATACATTTTAACTTTAAATGAGACAATAAAATGGAACTCTAATTCTATCTACAATTTCGTATTATTCTTAGCAGCAGCTTTCATTAAGCATGTCTTGAATTCAGTGAATTCTTTTTTGCAATCGTCTTTTTGTAAGTTAGATTTTGCTAATACGCACGCAGCATATTTAGTACCAGATTCGCGACACTGCGCAACAACCATTGGGTACTTTCTAAATCGTTCTCTCGCTTGTCTCACTGCTTCCATTCTTTACTATATACCAATATACATCATATTACTTACTACATATGTGTATTTCTGCTACTTATTGATACATTAATTGTCAAATCGCATTCATTTCTTGCTTTTTGGTAGAGCTGGTACTTGTGTCAATGTGTACATAATATAAGCAGAAAATAATAATGCACCCACTCGAAGTCCTGTGTTGAATTTTACTCTATCTTTCCTGCTTAACATCATTTTTGTGCCTTTTTCTAAAACAAAATCACGAGGTGATGATTGTAATTTATAATATAGTAAAGTATTTACTGAAATGATCAACATATACATACGTAATCCACTGTATTGTGCTCGTATGGCTTGGAAATGTCTATACCATCACAAACTACTGACACTGCAGCATGTGCAATACAACACTGTCGAATTTCTTCTATCACTGCTTCACAACGTGATGGTTGATAGATGTTATCTAAAATTGGGTAACCAATCAATTTATATAGCCTTAAATGAAAGAATGAAGGTTAAAATTAGCGAATTTCACAAGCCAGAGAGGAATTGCGTGAACGATACAAACCTTTCAAACACTGTTGCAATTTACATGCGAACTTTTTACACGGATCACTCGTTGTCATACGACGAAATTAAACATTTACATTCACCACAAAAAACTTAACGAAGCAAATATTATGTAATCTAAGTCGCGGCTGGATTGACTCGATTAAAAAGCTAGTGAATAAAAAAACATCTCTATTAAAAATTCTGTCGTTATAAAGCCCATAGAAATATCTAATTAAAATCTGTATTAATAACATAACATGTTAGATCTTTACCTTTCTGATGTACTTTCAACGAACGCTTCAAAGATTTATCCAGACCACCCAACTGCACCCAATGACGGTTTTAACCTAACGTGACAAATCTTTTATATTGAACAGATGGCACTATAAACTAGTCCTAACCTAACTAATCGTCCACAGAGCTTTGCACTGCTTTGCAATAGTTTTCGTATACAGAATTTAGAGCTTCATATGCACAAAAGCGTGACGGGCAGAATCGAAGAGACTGCGTACTGCAATACTTAGTTTACACTCTCCGCCGTGTAGTTGGCGTTTGGCATGTGCTGTCATCCGCACCGAAGGTGTTAAATTTTATAAATCCGTCTCTAGCGATATTAAAAAAAGTCCAACAATGTTGGGGAAAATCAAAACGAAACAAGAGAAAGGAGGTAAATGCAATAATTGTTTTAACATTGTTTGATTGCTTTACAGTTCAAATTATTTTACCTTCTGTAGCAGGTTATGTTTTTGTTTAATATTACAGAAGATACGTATAAAAAAAGTATGTTGCATGTGAGAAAGATTTTATACATTCGAAATCAGTGAAAATAAAGTTTTGCTATATCTTTTATTTGTTTCATTTTTATTGTAAAATTGAACACTTTATTTTTTTCTCAATCAGTATAGGACCTGAATTATATTTAAAAGGACATTTCTTCTTGTAGAAATAATCGCATATAGTGAAGCAGCAGTTGTAAACAATGCTGCAGTAGTGGAATATTGTAGGATATCAATGGCAGCATTATCAGGTGGCACAGCTGGGTTATTAGGATTAACTGGACTCTGTGGCTTTGGCTTCTATATTTTTGCAGTATTTGGATTATGGGTAAAATCAATTTTACTCTGATTCCCCGTTGCATTAACATTAAACAAATATCTCTTACAGGCGATGCTATTACTAAAAGCTGGTGGTCAATGGAAAAAATATTTTATAAGTAGACGGAACCTCTTAACTAATGGATTTTTCGGAGGCCTTTTTGTATCCTTTATAACATATTAAAACGAAGCATGCAACAATTTTATTTCACTCATATATTTTCCTTAATAAATCGTTAAAACCATACAACAGACGTATGTACTGTTCTGGACGTATCCTTTCAAAATCTCAAATACTTATATATATATATATAAGAAACAAATTTATCACTTGACATATTTTCTTTAATAATATATTAGATTTTTATATGGTATGGTGCACGTATACTGATTAAAAGGATATTTAGATTTAAGGATTTATATATATTTTTTAACTAAATATGTCGTTAACTAATTAAATATATCACAATCGATTGCCAGTTACTGGTCAGAGTAATAATATTGTTATGAAGCACTATGCGATTTATTGTATATGTCTGTACATGTGACACTTTCAAAAATACATTTATTTCATCTGTTCCATCTGTTTAATTTTATCAGTTATATATCGTCTCCGACTCCCCTAATTGTTTAACAGATATAATATACTACATAAGCGAAATAAGGGTGAATTGATTTATGCGGTAAAAATTTACTAAATACATCGTCGATACATTTTTTTTTCGTATAATTACATTTATTATAAAATATTGGACTATTAAAACATATTTATTTTAAACATAATTAAATGTCTGAATTAAAAAATAAATCTAAGGTTTAGCTCTCTGTACAGCGATGTTCCATCGATCCTTATCAGTACTTAAATCATTGCATATATATTGTACTGCGGACACAAGTGGTTCACAATAATATTGCTTTGTACTTGATAAGCTCACTTTTTACTCCTTCTTACCGTATTTCAATTAAAAATATTCCTTTCAACACTTAAAAGAATTTGTAATTATGTATACATATTTTTACAAAACGAATATTGAGTTGGCAGTGAAGGGATAAAGCTTCGCGTCAGTACGATGTCGTAACAAATTTAATTTACTTCCGTTTACGTCGATATTCTAGCGAATCAGATCTTCGTTTCGGAACTTTGCTCGAGGATAGGTGCACTACTGCGCCGAGATTTCTCAGGAATATCCTCGAGAGGTGTCCCCGTTTCAAGGATCTCCAATTTCTTTTCCTGATCCATTCTCTCCAATTCCTCTTTGCTCAAATGATAAACTATCCCGGCCCCGTACCCGTCGCCCAGTACGTTGATCGAAGTTCTGATTCGATCCCTTCGGACAATAAAGTATAATGTTACCGAATACGATTCCATAATCGTTCTAATTTAAGTAATAAACTTACAATAACCAATCAACGGTAAATAGCAGAGAAACATCGTTCGTTGGTAGACCCAAAGCTGTGAGCACTATTAACATCGTAACCAAAGCCGAGCTGGGAATACTCGCAGCCCCAATGCTCGCTAAGGTAGCCGTCAGACTATAATAGACGAAAGCGTTGTATGAACAAATATTAAACTATTATAAATAGTATATAAATAGTATTATAAATAGTATAAATATTAAACTAATTTTTCGCGTTGACCACACAAACCTGACTGTTATAACTTCGCCGATTCCCATCGAAATTCCGTTCAATTGAGCGATAAAAATCGCGGCTACCGCTTCGTAAAGAGCCGTACCATCCATGTTCACCGTAGCTCCTACGGCTACTACGAATCGCGTTACGCGTGAATCAATTTTATTGTTCTCCTCGAGGCAACGAAACGTTATGGGCAAAGTTGCGGCACTAAAACGATTAACAACTGAGTTGTATAATTATTATGAACTCGGACGTTGATTACCTCGATGCTGTTCCTAACGCTGTGATCCAAGCTTGCATCATACCCCTAAAGAATACGGCCGGATTCTGCCGCGTTATAATCCAAAATATCAGTGGTAAAGTGATTACAGCGTGAATGAGTAAGCCCAACACGACCGTCACCATGTACAGACCTAACATCTGAGCAGTTGCTCCAAGATTCTTAATTGACATTATTTTTCCAGTTATCAGACACATGATTCCGAACGGAGAATACCTGCGTAATATTAAAAATGGAAGACGTGCACTATTTTAGATCACGTCAAATTGTAGTTACGCCTCGATCCCTCACCACATCACGATCATTGTAACGAGTCTCATGATTATATCGTTCAGGACGACAAAGAAGTCGACCATCAACCGTCCACGTGGACCGATCTGTCCAGCGAGGAGGCCGAACGTGATGCAGAACATTATTATTCCCATCACGTTTGTCCCATCTCTGTATATTAACGTTGGCTCTAGGATTTGATTGCTTCGATTCGTACTCCCTATGACCACAACGTCCTTCGTCACGTAAGTCGTCTGCGCCTGCTGGAAGCAAGCCTGCACCAAATTTTCCGGCACCATGTTTCTAGAATCGACATTCGCCGATGATGATCGGTTGCGATCGATTACGCGTTCTGCATGTACCTAATTATATCGAGGATAGCGTCTAACGTGGAGATTTTAGTGATCTCGGCTTTGGGCGCACTGACGGTAGATTTGATCCTGGGATCACCGGGATGGATCATCAGTACCATCACGATACCAATTACGGCCGCGAGAATAGTTGTTGCGGTATAATATATCAACGCTCTGAGACCGATTCTCCCTGACCCTTTCGGGTCCAGCTGTGCCATTCCTAGAAAACGGAAAACTTAGCACCCAGCCGATTCTGACGGCCGGTGACGCGTTGCGTAATCACCGGAGATGAGCGATGAGATGATCAGCGGTAGAATGAACATCTTCAATAGCCGCATGAGAAGTTCTCCAGGGAAATTGACAAGTGTGATAACTAGTGGCGACGGATTCGCTAATCGGCCGAGAAATCCGAGGATAAGACCTAGCAGGACTGCGATGATCGTAAAAACCAAAAGCAAGTTCACGCCTATCCAATCTACTACCTGCGCTCACGTTCAAATTCAATGTAGAAAAAATCCGCGAGAAATCAAACGGGCAAAACATACGTATATTAATACCACTAACTATTTGCAATCTGTCGAGCGGCGTCATTTGAGGAGGGACCTTCTCTTCGTCCACGGTCGTTATTTTATCGATCTCGTCGGAACGTGACCTAGAAATTGCCTAGGTCAAACATCGGTCCAGAAGAAGCTGCAAGTTCATAAATCTTACGTCTGGGCTTCCCTAACTTCCGGCGTGCCCCTGAGGATCGCGACGACTCCAGATATGCGACGGCTCAGCGACATTGCTTCCGATTTAGTAACGCGGCACTTCAAAATTTCATTCACCGTTTATATCTGAGCACCAGGAAAATCACCAGAGTCGCGTACTCGATCATCCCGCGGACGTCACCATTGTGTCTGCCTAAATCCTCGGTGTTCGTTACGGTGTCCCTTCAGAGTCGTCGATACGTCGGAATCGTAAAATAAACTATAAGCGACATCCGCGAATCTTGGCAGACCCTTTACGCGCAAAGCACTGCCGAGTGACTATCGTACGATCGAACACTTTTGTAGGTATCGCGTCGTCACGATCTGCCATCACGTAGATAATGTGCCCCATCCAGGAAGCTGATTACGTCGTACGCGAGGGGACGGGGGATGAAGCTTGCAAGAGTGAATGAAGACAGCTCGAAGAACGAGAGAGATAGTCGGCAACAGGAAGAGGGCACTCATCGTAACGGGTCGCACGGCATCGAATAAGCAGAAGGGAGAAAGATGTGTACCACGCGCATACGTTTCGCAGAAATAGGCCCTATTGCATTCACGGTGCATCGGCTAAATTGCTCTAAATGGAGAACTTGAACGATTCATCTGCTCACGCGTAATCCCCCCCACGATCTGATTTAACTGTCCGATATTACGTGTTGAAAAATGTTCTTACGGGTGATAATTAAATAGTCGGGACGATTAATGATATCGTTTAAAAGGAATCATTGTGCTCTAATGGGATATGCAACGTACTTGAAGTACAGCGATGAGGAGCGTCGTAGGCAGAAATAGTATACACCGCACGCACGTGTCTCTTGAAGGACTTGTTAATTAAGTTCATTGAGTCAAAGACAACATCGCAATTTCTGGGGTATTGATAGACTGCTAAATAAATCAAAATCAGTTTACTGACAAACAACAATAGATGTTTGAATGCTGTATTATTAGCATTGGAAATGTACGTCGGAAATGGAATATTCGTGATGAGCTATTTGGAAGATATGTAGGACATACGCCAATTTGTAAAATCCCTTTGTATATCCATTGGGAAGTAACCTAATTCCTTCAGTAATGATGGCTCTGAGTGACTATATGCACAGTAATATTGGGTTTACGGTACTTCGTGCGAGAGTACAATACGGGAATAAGTTACACGTCAACTTGGGGGACTGCTTACTACATAGAACAAATACTACATTCGAGAAACTATATTCTTCAAGATAGAATGATATAATAAAAAAATAATAAGTTTTGGTTGCAAATAATTTTGATTAATATTATCTTGTATTTATAATAAAAAGAAATAATATTATAAAATAGTTAATTAGTTTTGTTGACACAAGATCTAAACCGTGCAGTTAACGATCTAAAATTAACGGCAAAATGACTGAAGCTCGGGTTGGAAATTCATTCAATCAATAGAGGAAGACGAGACGAGAATAATGACTTTTTGTTCATCCCGATATCTCAATCTGTTCCCGAGATATGAATTTCCAAAGTTTTGCCGTTAGACGATCCCTAGTAGAATTTCGCCCCACTTCTGGTCTTACAATCAAAGGGTTCTTTCTTGGAAACCAGTTGCGGGCGCCGTCTGACTGTACAGTTGGAGTGGGGTAGGTCAGTAACTAGGTCAAGGTGCGACAAAGAGGCCCGAACCGAGCGAGAAGGACAGTAACAGCGTTTCAAGACATCTCCAGAACGGGAATTCGGATCCGGATTTTAAAAGGGTGTTTCTCCCTCTTTTCTTTCTCGATCTTTGCGCAATTTCCTGCTAACTCCATTCGTTAAGAAATAATACGAAATGAGCGAAATAATTAATCGATTACGATTAAGAAAATTGTATATGACCTTTTTTGCAGTTAATAGAAGTACCTAACAGGACTACCCCTTCAGATTTTGCAAATGACTGCTTCCCTGTTAACGTTAGCAAAAAATGTTTCAAACGAAAGTTGTAGATACCATCAAAAGCTACAAGTTTTGAATGAACCATTTTTTTCTATCGTCAATAATTAACGAGTAATTTGTAATAAATTGTTTCATCGTTTTATGTCAAATACTCGTAAACTATTGACGCTGACAAAAAAATTTTCAAACGAAAGTTGTATTATCAGATATCGTCATTATATCGCTTATCAAGTCAAATTCCAGTGCATAATCCGTTGATAACGTTGTAAGTGACATGGAAATGATTTGGAGTTTCGCCTGTCTTCGCTAAAGGCGCCACTTACTTGGAGCAAATCTGTATTTCAAATTGTTTGATCAATTGATCTTGTATATAGTTTCACGTCCTATCGAAAATTTACTAATTACCGTAAATCACTATTCGTTTGTAACGGTGTACATTTACATAAAATTAAAATGGCTGGCATACAAGAAGAAGAAGTGAAAAATTTCATTCGTCGAGCCCTCGTTACAACAGACCCGGAGAAAGCCGTCACAGAATACTTCGTATCAAAGCAGGAAGATCGAAATATTAAGTAATGTAACAGAAAGGTTTACTTCAATTGTTGCACGATACGCTACAAGTATACTTTGTGTTGCTCTTCATTTTCAGTTCTGTAGGATATTCGAGAACAGATGTAAAAATTCTATGAGAAAAGGTTTCCGTTCATTTTCACGTCGTTCATTTCTGTAATTTAAAGTAAAGCGACTAACACCTCCAAAGATATGTGAGTTGTGTGTTCTGTGTGTTAGAAAGTATCCTGCATGGGATAAGCCAAGAGTTTACCCGGCGTTAGAAGTAATCAGAGCGCAATGCGAATTATCAAGAGCCGAGGAAAGATTGCATCTAAAATGGGCGGAGCAGGAGAGGAAACGGAAGATCATGGATAAGCAGTGGGATCAAATGAGACGGAAGGAACTGGTCCTTCGAGAATCCTTCATAAAGTTCAACAGATTCGTCAGGGAGAATCAAGAGAAACGCGATCGCGCGGAGGCCAAGATCAAGGAAGAACGCGAGCGTCAAGCGCAAAGGCAGGAAGAAGTAGGATATCGAAGTTAAAATCGGCGAAAGATATTATTTGTAGAGTAGTGAAAATGCAGCTCTGTTTTTTTAGCAAGGAACATATTTTCTAGATCGACGAATTAACGGAAAAGTTGCGTTACATGAACGAGGTTCGGGAGAAAATGAATAAATACGTAGGAGAGTACAAGAAATATCAGAACTATTTAGAGAGGGTGGTGAACGAGACAGGGGAATTCAATTCGATTTCTGAAATCTTCAATCGATACGAAACGTTGATAGACGCGGGGATGATGTTGTCCGAGCACGAGGATAAAAATCTCGAGATATTAGAGGACAGGGGAACAGAAATAGTAGACAGATTTTTCTTAAAATTATAATTTATTGAAATTCAATTTTTGATTATACAATAGAAAAGAATGGACGTATCTTTTCTTACAGCATCATATGACGGAGGCGAAGTCACAAAAGCTGATGGCATTGAATAATAAACTAGCGCAGCTACAAGCGAGGCGAGATAAGGCAGAGGCGCAAGCTCGTAGATGGGAGACGATCGTGGCTGAGATAAAAGTGAAGGCCGCGGAGAAAAATTTGGAGCACACGCAGGTAAAAACGTGCTGCTGGAATCTGTATCAACAGATCTGTAAGAGAAAGGATATACCCATAACTGTGAGCAAGGACGACGTCGAGCAACAGCTAGACCAAATTAAGCGAACCATTCTCGAACTGAAACGAATCATCAGAGTGGCGAAGAAACGGGCAGTAAAATAGACACAACAAGACAGCGGGTTTACTCGACACTTTACTTGTCCACATTATTTGTAAATAGATAATCTAAAGAAATAAATTATAAATACTGATAAATATGTTATACTATACTGTTATTAAAAAGCAAACTAAAAGGGCGGAGGGGTGACAATTTTTTTTTTTATACGATTCAGATTGAGCCGATTATATTCTGCTTTCTGATTGCGTACCCAATTCACGGGCTTCCTATTACGTACTATTTTATTGATATCTTTTTTGTATGACTTTTCTAGCTGCCGGCAAGTGACACCCTGATATGTTGTGCAGCAATTCCGAATAATCTTCTTCGAGCCTTTGTTTCAACTTGTTAGTAGCCTCGTCGCGCGAGAGTGGGTGTTCCAAACCCTCGGATACGATTTGTATTTCTTCCTTTTCGATGCATCTATACGATTTAATGGGCATAGGGAATAGAAAAGATATTCGGAACGGGAAAAAGGAGATATAAAGAAAAAGGAAGGAAACAGTGCTTACAGGGCGCAAGGTTGGGTAGGGGCAATGTATTCAATCGGAGGTACTTTCAACCTGGGTCTTCTTTCTTCGTCCAGTCTCAGCTGTTGCGTCTTAGTCGCTCTGTCTAGCCAGTACACTTTGTGGAACATCTGCGTGATGCGTTTTTCAATGATTCCTAGATATAGCATAACATTATTCGGTGTTATCTGTTCGTGGTCGCCCAATAGTTTCAAGATCGGAGAATTGTCGCAACGAATTGCTTTGAAAAGAGAATCTATCCCTTTAAGTAATTTTTCTATCACGTCATCGCACTGAAACAAACATTGTAATTAGTCGTTCGACTTTTGAAAGGTGTGTGCATGCTCTCAATATACCACCTGTGTCAAATTTTCTTCAGCTGCATCGGCGAGAACGGTCTGTTCTTCAAGGTCTTTTTTAAGTTTTTCTAGGATTTCGGTTTGCTGACGACCCTGAAGCTCAGTCGTGTACTCTGCATCTTCTATAGCAGCTGTCAGCTGCGTCATTCTCGTCTGGAGGCTCTCAAGTTCATCGTTTAATTCATTCACATAACTGAACAGCGCGAAGTTTTCCTCCTCTTGCTTTATAAAGTGTCCTATGAGCTTGTCGACGTCGTGCTCGCCTACGTAACGTAGATAGTTGTAGTAGAGTCACGGTCTGTGTACTATGTTACATTATCATCAAGTATGAAAATTGGTACCAGTGAATTCTTTGATCATGTGCAGAATTTGTTTGTAAGACGCAATTTTATTTTGTTTCTCCTCCATTCTTTCCCTTTTCTCCTCTGCGCGTTTCGCGTTCAAATCGGCCATTTCACGATACTGTCCCTTCACGCCAAGGAATTCTTGCAATTTCATTTCGTTGTCCATCGTCCTTTGCAGTTCGCACATCTCTGTGACGTGAGCCCTCAGATCTCTCAATCCTCTTTAAAAAAAAAACGAAACATTCGATATTTTCTTTTCCGGTATTTCGAATGATTGCGTTACCGGAAGTGGCTAAAGCGCAAATAGGTTAATGACCCGATAAACGAAATATTGGATAATCTCGAAGCGCGACCGCGATGCGCCATTTCATTCCGATCGTTATCCTCGGTTCCGAGTTTCTAACTCTCAACGAATGGATGGATGAATTTGTTCTACGCGAAATACGAATAAGTAACTTTCAACTCGTTAATGCGACTCGGAGTTATGGGGACAACGATCCGATCTGCGTAACTTTCGCGACTATTCTTCGGTGAAAAATGTCATGAAACTTGTCGCGACGGTACCGGATTTTCTAGAGAGTTTCGCGTTATATTAATATTTGAGAGAAAAGATTCCTTGCCCAGATCTATGTACATACCTTTCTCGAAGAGCTTGCATCTTATTCAGCTCCTCGTCTCTCTGATTGAACGCGATGGTAGCTTGCTCGATCAAATCATTGATAACTTGCTTGCCAGTGTTCAGTTGATTCATCAATTTATTCCAATACGCTGTAAACTGCTCTCGGTCCTTGATCATACTCTCGATTTCCTCCCGCAGCTTCTTATTGTCACAGACAGCGATGTTGAATCTCTTCGTCGCTACGTCCAATCGATTCTCCAGCATGTAAATCAATTTATTCTGTCGCACAGCCCGCTCCTTCAGCTGCGCGTCCGATCTAATTTTCATTTTTAAACACGTGGTCTCTTTCGATAACTGCAAACAAGGTGTCAATAGAATTTCTTTATCTTCGATTATTATCGATGAACGAAACCGGATGGATCGATTTTTGAACCTTCTGAATTTCTTTATCGAGCACAGCTATTTCCTCTTTCTCCATCGTGATCGATTCATCATACTCCTGTTGCATCTTCATGAGACACTTGAGCTTTTCCTCTATTTCCGCATCTTTACGAATAAACGTCTTCGACGCAGCCGTTCTGATACGGAGGACGAGCTCCGACTTTTCGTACTCTAAACGATCGATCATGTTCATTTGATTGCGGAGTTGTAGCCTCGCATCCTCGACGCAGGTCCCTCGATCGTTCTCCATTATTCTGTACTGCCTTTTCAATCTTGAAAGTTCAGCCTGAGCCATCATCTCGAGCTCTAGCTCGTCCGGCGTGTGGTCCGGTTTCCGCGCCATTCTCAGGCTTTACCTTGCGACTAATTACAACCTATCGAACATTCAAAATTGATAACACGTGACAAAATATCGTTCGAATTCAGTGATTGAGCATCGCCTGGCTCGGGATAAAATAAATACACGCTATAGCCTATTGTCTATCTATAATGATTCAAACATTTTATTCATCGGACAATTGGATTCGCTGAAAGTTTTTACATGCTCAACGTAACATACACTACTTGTTGCGAGAAGACTGTTTTCTTTTATTGATCAACGCATGCGAATGTAAAGCAGTGTGTAAAGGTTACTGCGACTCACTATTTGTTAAACATCTATAGAAAAGTTGCGCTCGCGATGGATCAGAGATTTTCCCGGGATTCGTCGCCGGTATCTTCCTCACCGTCCACGTAGGTGATCTCGAGGATCAACGCAGGGGAGGAAAACACTTTCCCAACGTGTCTGTCGATGACGTTCAGCGGCGACATTTGAGAAAGACATCTGCCACCCTATGTAGCTGTACCATCTGCACGCAGGGTACCGTTGTTCTTGTTGGTGCTTCCGGTTGCCAAGCACCCTTCCAGGGGTGTATCGCACCCGTAACGGTCTCACGCGTCAACAAAATTCCATCATTACTTGTACTAAAAACCTAAAGGGATTTAGAAAAATGATATTTCTCTATATTTGTATTACGTAGAGATGACGATGATCAGCCGAATATGAATTTGAAAAATAGTCTGTGTTCGGTGAATTTTGTCTGATAAAATCAGCTGCATTGGCGGGCCACTAGATGGTGCAAGCCGCTTAATGATAACAACCGATGTTGTTGAACACGTATACAATTACATTGCTAACTAGAGCGCTCAATGACGGACACTTTGCAGCGTTATTACTTACATGTTAATAATCACCGAATGGTGCCACGATCAACGATCTCTCTAAGAGAAAAAGAAAAATCACATTTCATTACATACTTTTTCTTTATCTAATTGATTACTGTGCAGCTTGCAAACTGCTGTATAACAACGCGAATTTCTTTATTTCGCCACACATACATATATGTGCTTTGTGTTCCGTATGTTTCTTCGGTTTCACACTAGACTAGAATTATAGTGAAACTGCCTGAGTCATTTCGAATGAAACGCATTTTCTAACTCTCGAAACGATCCAGGCAATTCGTTTTTCGACGTATCAGCGTTACGTGTTGTCAGTTTGATATATTTCTGATCTAGTCCGCGCGATTATACGCGCATTTATTATACGGACGACGTGGAATAAGAAGAGGATAAATTCTGGTTATTTGTTTTATCGTAGCGTAGCAAACGCGTGGATAACAACAGCAAACGTAGGAGGATCGTGTGTTGAACACGATCCATAGATTCGTGAGATCGAGTCAGGTGGCTGTTCGACCAGGTGTGTCGAGTAGTGGGGACAGCGTCGAGTGGTGGGTACGGGCAAGGGAGAGGCTAGTATGCCTCCAGAGGGGAAGGTCGACAGGTCGATTGTCCCGTGCGCGGGTGTACAACGAAACCCTTTCATCCACGTACATTTTCTCCAGTTTTCCCGCGTGCCTCTTCGCTCGTCCGCGACGAGTGCTTATCAGGTGCACGCACGAATAATTCCGAAGGACCCAATAATAATCGATCGCGACACCGAGACGTCGTTGGTGGCGATACGGAACGATCGAAATCGGGATAATTGCACGGTCGGATCAAATTTAGCAGTGCGAGTGAACGTTTACGTAGCGGAACGAGCTTGAGTAGTAGAACGAATTACTTTCAGCAGGAGCAGAGGTGGGAGAATCTCCTCTACCTGGCCGAGGAGCACGGCCGCACGATTCCGTAATATTTATTTTCTACTTGCTGGCAGCGAGGTGAGTCACTACCTGGCCGACTACGGCACGGTGCGGCGAGCTGGTCCGCCTGGCGTGTCCGCGTCCCTTTGCGCGTGTACCTTGCGCGAGTTCACGGCGATCGAGCTCCGAAACCAGTCGAGGAAGAGAGAGAGGGTCCTGTCCTGTCGACGACCGCGAATTCGGGAACAAAGGAACGATCATCGGCGAGGGTAGGAGGTCACATTCGTTCGATCGACTCCATTTGCGACGAGAGCCCGGCGGTTCCACAATGTCAAGCGTAACCACTGACGTCATAATTTGTTTAAGGACAGCCGACGGAAAGTAGTGTGACACATGTAGTGAAGGTTGCGTCGCGTCGATATCCGTACACGCCAGGTCGTACAATTTTAATATCAGTAAAGCGTTTAATTTCACGGAACAGCCGAGAAAGAAATTCGACTGATAACCGAGTGTAATTTGTGTGTATAGACAGTGATCGCTTGTTTACGAGTTTCTGGTGAATAGTGAAACAATATCAGCATGTGTGCCTGACGATCAAAGGGATTTTATACTAAGTTGTGTTCACCGTTTCGAAGATTGCATTGTTGTTAATTCCTAACGAAGAGCTAAGAATCGTTACTGGCTGTATGTTCGCGCGTGGTAACCAGGAAACGGAGCAGAACATCGGAATTAAGCCTGTAACTGTTCACCCCCGTTTCCTAAACGCAGGAGATGTTACATCGAAGATCTATCGATCAATCGATTATCCATGCCGAAGTGAGTTTTTGCTCGGTGATCGCGTGTGCGCGTTCAATCGGACATTGAATACGATCCATGAAAGCGTTTGAAAGTAGTCGACGATTATGCCGGTGAACGTGACCACAGCTGATCGTTTCCGGCGGTGAGAGACTTCGGTGATCGACGAGGAAACCTGTTTCGGTTCCGATGTTACGTGCGCGAGCCCGGACGAGGGGAAAAAGTGAACTTACACGCGCGGCTTTTATTATCGCGTCGCGTAATTCATCTACAACGTTTCGAAGGTATTCGTTATGACTCAGTCAAGGATTATCGTTACGTTATTGAACTGTTTTTGTTTAATCAACGTGCTTGAAAATCGTCTAATCGGATTTTCATAATTAGCGTGGACGATCACAAAATATGTGACAAGAGCTTAAAAAGATTTCGCCAATTCAAGTAATAAATCATCGATTTTTGCGGAAACCGGGTATCGAACAGGCTTACTAAACTGTTTCTAAATCGGAATCACCACGCATAATCAATGTACTTAATTCTTAACCACGGTCAGCCTCGACACGTGTATCGGTTCGTTCGCGGTTTTTAATCCACGCTACGTCTTCCTTCGGATCGATCGCATCGACTAGACTAGCGCGTACGTATACCCGCATTCTGAACGTTACAAATGGTTCTGACGCGTGGGCGGTTCGTCACCTGGTCCCGCGTGTGTCATTATCACGAACGACAATAAAGGTTCACGCGTTGCCAGACCGCGGAACACTCCGTTGACGATCGGCAAGCGTGAAACGACACGATGTTACCGAAGAAGGAGGTCCAGCACGAGCCGTACTCTCTGGAGGACATGATTTCCGATCTCCAGGCCCGAAGGAACTCCCTAGATCAGGAGGACCTCGAGGACCCGGTCGAGCTTTTGAAGAAACGAGACAGAGATCTCGTCTTGGCCGCGGAATTAGGCAAAGCGCTTCTTGAGAGGAATCAAGAATTGACCAGGCAAATCGAGGGTCTCGCTGAAGAGTACTCGACCAAGTTGGAAGTGAGTATCCGAGATGATTTTCAAATCTTGCTTCGCTTTCACAGCTTATCGTTCGAACAAATGATAGACAAAGGTACAATCGATTTGTTATCTGTATCAACATTGCGTCGCGAGAGATAAAGAAATTGTTTGATAATTGCGCGATGTTAAGATAATCCGTTGTTCGACCGCGAGGTGGAAAATTCATAGACCGATAAGGCAGCTAACTGGTTCGTTCTCAATCGAAGCCAATGAAGTAAATATTCGACGAAAGATTAAAGATTTACATTATGTAAGGGATGATTTATTAAATTAAGTAAGGAGGCGTGATTTGTATTGACTTTTTCCACGTTGACAGAAAGTTTCATTAAGCTGAGAGCTGAGTATTAAGGATTATGTCCAGTTCTCTTCTGTCTAAATTTTTCGATTGACGCAAAACGAGTCTAATAAACAATTCTCAAAAATCATTTTAATAGTAGCTACTATTTCGTTGAATACAATTTTCATCATCTTAGAGTTTGAAACGAACAAATGCTTCAGTGCATAATACCATCGTACGCCTCTCCTAGAAGGGAAGGCAAAAAAGACAATATTTGACTTAATAAATGCCGTCATAAATTACTACGCTTATTCATTAACGTCAACGGCATACAACTCGCATCGCGTGTTCGTATCTTCCTGCTGAAAATTTCCACGACTTTTCCGGATGATGAGCTGAAAACGAGAAAAAAATGAAAGTTCAGAGAACGCGCTCTCACACGTAGAGACGTTTCTCCGCGGTTTTCGCCGGAATCGGGCCACGGGGCACGATTCTGAATTTCAAATGCATTTTTTTTATTACGTGCGCCGTAGTTGGATTCGAGATCGCGACACCGATAAATTTATCTGCGAAAACAAATGGGAACACCTGACATTGAGAACTATACGTCATTCTTGATAAACTCATTGCAGTCACGTTGGTCGATTTCATTTTTTCAGCTTGTCGTCTTCGAGCCACTTTTTTTATTCCAATCGTTCCATTCTATCCCGATCGATAGGATTAGAAGCAGAAAAGGGATTCTAAATCACTTATCCTATGTTCCATAAACGAAAAGAACCGAAGTTTTTCATCACTAATTTTCTTGACGCTGACTCACGTTTTTATATAACTCGTGAAAATTTCATTAACGTCGTATCGTTAAACACTCGCGTGTTGAACAAAGAAAAAAACCCGACGGTTTCGTATGGTAGTCGCAATAAATACGAATAATAATTGCAATTTTCTGGGGCATCAAACGCGGTCTTGCCATGACTTTCGACGAATGCTTCCCGTAGTAGAGTATGGCTCACGCGAGAGCGTTGCCTCCACGCATGGAATCGATACGCAACCGTGGACTCGGAAAAGCGTGAAACCGTAGCGTTTTGACTGCGTAATGACATCAATTTTTCTGGTCACGCACGTTTCACGCATGCCTCGGATCGCGGAGCAACGAAGTTGTAAAATTTAGCAACCACGTGCGCCGACGAAACCATATCAAACGGTAATAAAAAGTTCGAGCCTCAGCTTAGAATTGAGTTCTGCGTTTTAATGCAGTTATAAAATTTGATCGAACTAAGAACAGGATACGTACGAGAGGGAAATTTATAGAATTTCGCCATTTCTTGGCCTGTATTAGTGTCGCAGGAGCGAGTGTGTAGCGCGAGCCAGGTAACCACAGGGTCGTGGACAGAAAGCCAGGAAAGCGTGGAAACAAGTCACTTAGGCAACGTAACGTCAAAGACAATGCCCGGCACCACGCTCTGCCTAGCCTCGTACCCGCTTCTCCGTCTATCTTTCCGCGTTTTGCCTGTCACCGTATTTTTGACCTACGGAGAACACGCCGTGCGCACGCTCCCGTGTTCCTCCTTTGTCTCTGACTACAATGCTGGTTGCGCATGGCGCCTTGTTCACGCTTGTAAACCTGGGATCCAGTTCACTGGGCCAGTTTAAGCTTCGGTGCTTTCGGACTTGGAATCTTTCGGCTCCCTCATTAGATCGGATCATCTCTTCTCCGGAGCGGTTGAGAAATCGACGTATCCGTCGGAATCTCGGTTTAACTTCGTTTTAAGGAAACCACGGTAACGGAGCACCGAGGAAAGACAAACACGCGATCGTTATTACTATTCTTCGACGTACATGATCCTATTTATGGTGCGCGCATTCCGGAAACGAGCGTGCTTTCGTACAAATAAGTTGTTGTACGTCTTCCGCCTGGCATCCGGATATAATTATTACCCGTCTCAGAAAGTTTCACGAAAATGTTTAAATTCTCGATGGAAACGTACGAGAGGAAGATAATTCATCGCTGATGCACGGCACTTTGTTCGATTACTCAAAAATGACAAACCGTCGCGTGGGAGAATTCTCGTCATCGCTGTATCAACAAATGCAACGCGCGTGCGTTTACTCGGTTCTTGCAATCGTCTGCACGTGACTAAATATTCCTCGAAGGAAAGATTGAACAAGCATCTTCACCCGGGATCAATGAGAAAATACTTTTCCTCCGGCCTCTTTTACATACTTATTCACTTTCACGACGGTCTCATTGTTCATAATCGATGCGCGATTATGCATGGGCTCGTGCGAACACTTTACGTACAAGGCGCGCGCATGAATTGCAAAGAGGATTCGCATAACAAACGTAGACAGGGCGTCTTAGGTTTCCGGATTTTTTAATTAGCGCATTACTATTACGGGTTGTACGGTGTCCGGTGTTACCGCACGGGTAAGCGTTCAAATTCTTGTTACGTAAGACGTGTAGAAAGCATTTTGGAGGAACAACGAGCGGTCTGCGGTTTCCTTGATCAACCGACTTCCTTCTCCGACAGTCGTTTATTTCTCGTCGCCATTGTAACACTTTGCCGTGTACTCGCATTAATTATGCGTTATCTTACGAATAAACAAACATCCGATTAATTATTCACTTTTTACCGTAGCCCGAGTGCGTGCGCGATTATTTAATAACGAGACTTTCGAAACGGCTTGGTAACCCTTCCGTGTCCGAATGAGGAATATTAATCTAGGAAAAAGAATTTGAACAGCGAGATACAAGCGTTAAAATGATGCTACTTATTTACGGAAGAGAGATCGCCATTTTCAAATTCATCTATCCTATGGATTCATGTTAATTTATCACCGATTATGCTTTAACGGCCGCGTGAAAATAACGTTTCTTTCTTCTGAATGCAACGCGCGTTCCGGTTGTATGTATCGTAAACTCGATTTAAAGGATTCCAACTGTTTAATATTCGCGTGACGCAGTGCCGTAAGAAATAGTTACTTCATGCGAAATAACGAATGAAAATGTGACAGAAGATTCTTTCGTATCTCGAATTCCATACTTTCAAATATTTCGCATAACGCCTGATTGAAAACGGATTTCTTTTAAGGATGTATTGGCTATATAGTCAATCCCAAAAGTTTATGTACCTTAGAAAAACGCATTTCCTATAATTAAAAAGAAATCAGACGTCGGAAGAATAATGCTAATAATAAATAGCTACGTGCTAAAAAGTATAGAAGGAAAT